TAGGTTAGGGAGGCATGGAGGGGGGTGGAGTAGGGGAATGATGTCGAGCTGAAACGAGCAACGCTTTCGAGTGCTGAAGCAGCAGCTGATCGCAGCACCGCTTGCTTACAAAGGTGAGCTCCTCCTCCCACTCTTTGTCGAGCTGAGGTGAGCTGAGGTGAGCTGAGCTGCATGCCAGCATGCTCACTAAGACTGAATGCATCGCATCATGCGGGCGGGGACGCAGCCAAGCTCGAAAAGCTTCGACGAGAACGAGATCGAATAAAGTGAATAGCAAGTCCCATGCACTCAATCACAATCGAAGAAGGCAGTCAGGCAGAGCAGCAGCAGGCAGAGAGGCAGGCAGGCAGGCAGTCGGTCAGTCAGACCGTCCATCGGCCAGTCAGGGATCTCTGTACTGTAATATCACCCTTTTATTATGCCTCCCCGGCCCAGCCCAGCCCAGCTCTCGTAGGCAGAGCATGGAATCTGGCCCCAACTCCAAACTTTTGGGTCCCTAGGCCTTCCCTTCCTTGGCAACCATCACCGCAACCACTCCTGATTCCATCAATGGTCACTGTTGTTACCACGCCCAATTCTGCACAATAAGGTACCACCAATTCCCTTAAATAAACAGCAGACGGATAAATCGAAGCTCGAGGTCGTGTCACATGTGTCCTTGAAGAGTAGGAGTAGTAGTAGTAGTAGTAGCAGCAGCTGCTGCTGCTGCTGGTGCTGGAGAGGGAGGAGAGAAGCGGGAATGGAGAGAAAAGACTGTATAACGGACACTTCAAATCCGAGGGAAGAGGGCACAGGCTGTGCATGGCACGGGCGGGCGGGGGGATATGGCCCCATCTAACGACAAATCGGTTGCCAATAATCAAGCGCTCTCGCATGGACAGCCTTTAATGTCGTAGGTGGTGGGGGGAGGTCTAATTCGAAAGAAACGGATCGGTGCCTTCAAAGTCTCGGGGTCGTGCATTAAGAGTTTCCCCCCGGCCCGATTCATGTTGCTTAATCATGCAAATCATGATCAAGTCGAGGATACCTTGAGATCATTTGTGTGGATGGATGGAGGGAGGGAGGAGGCCATGGTAGCAAGCAAGCAAGCAAGCAAGCAAGGAGTGAGTCAGTGGGAGGCATGTTGGAATCGCCCACATGGGCATGGTGCTCGAGCTGGCTGCCACTGATGGACCGCATCCAGGTCTGGAGTTTCTCATGATAGAGTGCCAAATTGGACAAACGGGGGCGGTGGTCTAGAGTGCATGTCTAGCCTGCTTTCCACGAGGCCGTCAATGGCCGGACATTGACCGTCCGGGACGTGTCCTAGACAACAAGCAAGGCAAAGCATCCATCCATGGCTGGGTTCTGAAGGAGAAGAGAGAGAGAGAAAGCTGTAGAATCCACTGCCATCGTCATGATTCATGTCCATGGGGAGGAGGAGTGTGCAGCCTCGAGAGGGAATGTCGCCGCTTATTTCTTCTTCTTCTTGCTGCAGCTGCTGCTTTTGTGCAGCTGAAATGGCTCCATGCTCACTAGGCAACAAAGGTTGACGACAAGTCACAAGGTGAGCAGCATGATGGAGCTCGGCGAATTATTACGATAAAGGGCCTTTGGCTGAATGGGGGGGCCAGGCAGGGATGAGTTTGTTTGTCTCGGGCCTCTACAATACGACCGATACCGTAGGCTCAGCAGATGCTCGAGATTCCGAGCCATGGGTCGCCATGGACGAGGACTCGGGCTCAAGTGTCGTGTCCTGCGAAAGTGGGCGAGAGGGCATCATGACGGCGAATGGGGGCGACGAAAGCAGCAGCTTCACGCTCGGCAAACTAACCGAATCCTGCGCCCAGCGCATCGGCCTGCATTAAAAGCGCAGCTAACCTGGCTGCTAGAACTGCTCGATCTACTCGAGACGCGCACACTCGTTTGTCGTCTCTCTCGACTCGCACTCCACCTCTCCCCATCGCCATGCGCAAGTTGAGCTTTTACAAAAGACGCAAGAAGAAGAAACAAGCGAATCCCCCCCCCCACCTCCTCCTCCTCCTCCTCGTACTCGCACGCCATCATACGCATGCTGCTGTGAGTACCGAGCTAGCTCTGTAGCTCGATAGATAATAGCTCGACGCTTCTGATCGACTCACTGACTGACTGACTGAATGACTGAATGAATGACTGAATGACTGACACCCTGACACACTGACTGATGCAAAGATGGTGGTGGAGGACGCCGACGAAGACTGGCTCGGCTTTCCTTTCGTCAATTTTGTGGTCGAATTGTTTTCAGCTCGTGGAGATTCCCATCTGGCTGCGGTTGTCGAGTCCATGTCCGAGTGCATCAATCTATCTACTCGAGAGAGAGAGAGAGAGAGAGAGAGAGAGTACATTGCTCTTACTTCTAATTCTTCAGCAGCAGCAGCAGCAGCAGTGGAGTGTCCTAAGCCCGCGAGTGATCAGGAGGAAAATACACGACGCCATGAAAGATGACGACAAATTGGCATTGCAGAGCGGGGACGCGAGGCTCATAATTGCATGGGGCCAAAGGATGGGCTGGCTGGCCACGGCCTCTACGATGGTCGCTACACACTAGGGCAAGTCAACTGCAATAACTCGGATCAATGATTCATCATCCTTGCTTGCTCGGGCTTGCGTTGCCTTGCGTTCATGCTGCGTTCATGTACCTCGATACGAGCCGTATCTGCATACACGAATCTCATCTACGTGACCTCCTTCCATACGTCGGGTTCGTGTATGGCCTCTCGGAAGTCAAGACAAGTCCTTCTGCAATTCACCAGCGCAGGAACTGTCATCATCGAATGACGCCGCCGACGACGACGAGCACGAGGACGAGGACGAGGTCTCAGACTCAGACTCAGACGAAGGCTGGAGACACGAGAAGTAAGCGACTCGTACAGGAAGGCATACGGTATTGTTGGGGGGAGGGGCAGTGGAGGGGGGCTATGGAGGGAGGGGGAGGGGGGAGGGGGGAGGGGAATGGGGGTAATGGTGGTGACGGTGGGGGAAGAGCGGTTGTGAATGTCGGCCGATCGTACCACTTACTGACTGACATGGAGTAGTTAGAGTTAAATCTTTGGAGTCGGGGAGGCTCGGGGGCAAAGCATGGAAAAAGCTCGGACTGACGTCAGGGAAATTTGATTGGATCGGATCGTCATGATTGATCGCGGTCAGAGGTCGTGATCTGATGAACGCACAGAAGATAGCCTCGACCCATCCGCCAGAGCAGGCCTCCAGCGAGCGAGCGAGCGAGCGAGCGAAGGAAGTGAAACGCTTCTTGAGATCAACTTTCGGTTCGTTCGTTTGTTTGATGGATGGCTCGTCGTCGGTTGGTTCATGATCGTCGTCGCCGTCGTCGTCGTCGGGGCTGTGATCTGTCACAGGGGGACGGACAGGCGGCGGACGCTGCAGCCGATTGGGCCCTCGGATGCCTTTTCTCGCTCCATGCGAAATTCCCTTTATTTAATGTTCAAACGAGATAAGAGCCTCCGCCAGCCCCTGCAGGCGCCTCTACGCAAGCCCTACTCCGTCGAGCGAGTTCGTTCGCCTTGCGTTGGATGGAAACAGGCCCAGGTGTTCCAGGCTCCCTCCCTCGCCCTCTCGCTACCCCCTCCGCCATAGCCCCTACCCCTGCCCCTACCCCTACCCCTGCCTACTGCCCCACCCCCTGGCCCCTGGGGCCTGGGGCCTGCGGCCTGGCCCCCCATCTGCGTCTCCGCTGCAGAGCGCCAGTTTCCTCTGGGGCTGGGGCTGCGTAGAGCCTTCTCTACAGGTCTAGCTCGTCCCGTAGACGTTCATAAAGGTACAGCTATCATACAGCCCCCCTCCCCTCCCTTCCCTACCACCTCATCTACTCTACTCCGTCTCCTCTCCTCTAGTACGAACTCGCCGTGAGTCAAATAATGCTGTCGCCTTCTCGTTACCATCACCCCCATCCCCCAGCGCACAGTTACCGAACTAACCCCGATCACCCGATGGGCCTGCCGGCCGGCCGGCCGGCCTGCCCCTCCACACTGGGCGCCTGGGCTTCTAAGGCTTCCACGAGATATTTACCTCCTCAGCCCCTGCCGTTTTACTTCCAGTACTCAGGCCCCTCCCCGTCCGTCGTCTCCGCGAGGGCTTCCGCTTCTTGCTCCCCGAGGCGTTATCATGGTTTCCGCCGTATGCGTCAGTGATCTCCCCCGCAAGGCCGGCCACGCAACCGCGTCCGTCTGCCAGCACAGTACAGGCAGAGGTAGACGTGGTAGACTACGCTCACAGCGTCGGCCTCGTGATTTCGCAGGCCGAGGGGGTTATCATCCTCGGCAACATGAACGGAATTCCAGGGCTCGCTGAAGACCCGAATCCGGTAAGAAAGAAACCGAGAGCGGTACCACGCGGTTACCGATGATACGGGTTCCCGAGGCTGGGGGAGGGGGGGCAAACTGAATTGGGCTAAGGGAAGGTAAGGTCCAGGTGCTAGCGAGCAGGCCATTGCGTGAAAGTACGAGCCCCCTCGTAACCCCCGCTGGGCCCCCAGTCGCCTCCCCTCTACTCGTCTCCTTCTCAGACTACGACTGTACGTACAACGAGATCGGAGAGGGAGGCTCGTCTGCCATGCAGCGGGGCCTAATCCTTTTGCCGGTGATTCTCCGAAGGCTTCGTCGGGGCAGGGCCAAAGGTTTTAGCTCGGACGAGGAGTGCGCGGCATGCAGGACGCGGTGAGGGGTCCCAGTACGAGCGAGAGAAAGCCTGCGGGTGCTCAGATCTACGAGTACTTTCTACAGACATGCACTTCTTCCGCCTCGACCACAGGAGTGTGGACACTTACACGCTACTCATTCCAGTACCGGCCCATCCATCCATCAGCAGCAGCAGCCATCGAGGTGGCGGCTGGCGCACACACGAACTCATTCACACATGGATTCGCAGAGAAAGAGAGAGAGAGATAGAGAGAGGAGGGCGATCCATACAGAGAAAGAGAGAGAGAGCCATAGAGGAAGGCGAGACAAGGTGAGATAAGAGAAGATAATGGGTAAGTACAATAGTTTTGAATCATGGAAGGTCCGCACGGCTGACATGTACGGTAGAGGCATACACAATACATGACGAGGTTCGCTCTTGTCATTCGGCTTCTTCATCTGCTGCTGCTGCTGCTTCTTCTCAACCTAAACTCTACACATTCTTTCTTTTCTAGACCCATCCCTGGCACTTGCGCAGTCAATCCAGGGCGCGGGGTCTATGGTCGAAAGGCTATGGCAGGCCCCTGCCTTTATGGGTACAATCTCTCTCTTGTCGAAAGTCTATGGCAGGCTCTGCTATATGAATACAATCTCTTTTTCTCTCCCTCTCTCGCTCTCGCTCTCTATCGCTCTCACTCTCTCTCTCTCTCGCTCTCTTTCTCTCTCTTCATCATCGAAGGTGATGTTCTTTGGTACAGACCTAGGAAAATTGATGTACAATTAAACAAACTACAAGTGGATTATCAGGAGAAGAATCTGTCCCGTCGAAAGCCCCACAATTCACGAGGAAACTACGTGCCTCCGTTCAGTAACTCTAATTCGGCGGGCTGGGCTGGGTTGGCTGGCTACTAAGACATATTTGTCTCCAGCAGAGAATCTAAAGTATCTACTACTCTAATGAAGTCGCCACGATTGAGGGCCGTACATGGTGCTGCTGGGAGCTTTGACAGGAGGGGCGCTAGAAGGCCGATGGTTCAGGGAGGCCAGGCAGAGCACGGCTTCCTCGACCAAGCTGTCGAAAATGCTCCTCTCGAGCTCCAGACCGATTTGCTCCGCCACTTCTCGGGAGTTGATCCACGAGCCTCCCCGAGAAACGTCCCGGGCCATGAGGGCGTCCAAAGCTTCGAATTCCTCCAGGCCGTCGGGAGAGAAACACGCGCAGATCTCCGTCCAGATGTCGCTCAGCAGTTGCCGGCTCGTGGGTATGGGGCGTAGCAGAGGAGTCGACGGCTGGACCCACGGCCGGTAGCTCAGCCGAGGGCCGAGCAGTTTGTGGATCACCTCGTTCACCACGTCGAATAGGAGCTTCCTGTTCGTCGAGTCCATGTTCTCGGTGGGGGCTGATGCTGCTGCTCCTCGCGCTTTGATCTTGCTGCTCTCCTTCTCCACATGACTCACGTCGTTGTAGTACTCCTCCAGTCTATCGTAAAGACATGGATCCAAAGGGTACAGAGGCGAATTCCATCTAGCAATAATCATGGTGCTGCTTTCCGTGAACCCTGACGCTACCAGTAAGTTTCTTACATAGAGCAGGTCGGCTCTTCTACCATCCGGACACGGCAATCCATCGACGCTGACGCTCTCCAGTCGGTACTGGAGCGCAAGTGACTTGATGGCCAGAGGTGATTTGACATCTCTGCCAACAGCAGCGCTGCTGGTGCTGGTGCCCTCCGTCGACTCCAGGCAGTTCTCGGTGTGTCGCACTCCCTTGTGGTTCAGTTGGAATATCAGCTTCTCTTTCGCTTGTAAGCTTTCCAGGAGAGCGCTTGACCTCTCGCTTTCGTCCATCTTCAGCAGGCGCAATCTCAATCGCAAATCTGGAACGAACATAATCTTTTCAGTCCACAAACTCCACACATGTTTCCCTGAGGTGCAAACATTTGATGGGATAAAATCTAAAGGATTATGCATCATGAAAAACATGATACGATCAAGAAGAAAATTGAAATTGAAAAATCACAACTTGCTCAAATCTCGTCGAGCAATGATTCCGTTTTGACGAAGATTATTGGCATAAGCACCCTACAGGGCAAGACCTCAGCTCTTGTGGACATCAAAGATTTGTCAATGAAAGCGACATTTGTCGAGAAAGAGAATGGACAATATCGGTCAGAAGAGTCTGAAAGTGCAACATGTGCGGCTGTAGAACGATGCTCACCATGAAGGTCCGATGTAAGCTCTTTGAACTCCACTGGACTGGGAATCTCTGCTTCGAAAGGAGAGTCGAGCACTGAAACAGGGCTAGGCTGCCCGCATTTCTCCACACTCGTCTCGGACGCTCCATCGCCATCCCCGTTCTCCAGTGTGTCGGTGGCCAGCATCCAGCTCTTGGAGTTTTTGGAGCCTTGCTTGCCAACCTGAACCTAGCATACCCACCAACCCGAAGCCTTTCAGTTTTCGAAGGCAGTGGCCATTGTGCAGTTTCCATACCGAGAAAAAAAGGCCAACGAGGCAAACATATATCACGAAAGTCAAGCTTAGACGATCAGCTAAAAAATTGAGTGGAAACTTACATCGTGCAAAGTGTGGCCCGTGGGCTTTCTGAATTGACCCGCCTCGGAATTGTCCTTGGCTTTGGGTGTGAGCTGAGCCAACGCGGCCAGCAGTTCCTGCTCGCAATCTCTGACCCCCGACCGTGGCAAGTCCTCGACAGCGACGGCATTTTCCAGGCTCGATCTCGCCGTGAGAGACAGATGCTGCTCTTGGTCGAGCGCTGGCCCGATGGGCTCGATCTGCTTACAACTGACCGTGTGCACATCCTGCACGACCGTGCGCTCCTCGTTGGCCGAGGAGCTCTGAATGGGAGACCACGGAGCCTCGAGGGCTCGTCCGGAAGTGCTGCTGGAATCAGCCCCGAGTCTCTTCTTGCTCAGCAAATAGGCCGCTCGGGCTTCGTTCCTCTTCTCCTTCAGATAGAAATGATCGGAATTCTCCACCCTCTCGGGCGCCACCTCGAAGGCTCGGCTCACGGCGCTGCCGCTGGGTCTCACGGCCACCTCACGAGCCTTGGACCCGACGACGGCAGCGTTGGGCACGGACCTGTTTCGCGCCAGAGTTCTGGGGGGGCTACTATCGCGCCCTTCGTCTGCGAGCCCGTGAGCAGAAACGGCGGAGTGGAAGGATTCCACCTTCTCCACCTTCAAAATCTTCTCGCTGCTCGGGAGAGTGCTGTACATGTTCACGTCGACGCCTTTCCAATCGTCCGGGTGCAGCTGGCTCTCGAGGAATGGATCGCCACGGCTTCGGTGGTGGGATTTGGAGCTGGGAGGGAATGCTGCTGGACGAGAAATGCTGGCTCGATTGATGTCCACCTGCGAGGACGGATTTCGCGCTGCAGGCGAAGCTCCCTTGCCCTGCTGCTTCTGCTGCTGCTGCTGCAGCAGCTGCTCTTCGATCTGCTCGACTTGGTAGACAGCGGCGCTGCCGTGCTTGTCGGAGGACGAGGACGACGAGCGCCGCTTCCATTCCTTCTGCGAGCTGGCACCACCGGAGCTCGTGCTGGTGGAGGTGGTGGCAGTCTCCTGCGATCGGATCCGAGGGCTCGGGGTCGGGACTGTGGGGGAAGTGCTGCGGTGCTCGTCCTTCACGTGCCTGCGCGACAGAGCGGCCAGAGTGAAGGAGCCCACGGCCTCGAAGGCACCAGCATCGTGAATTTCGCTCTTGGGCGACGAAATCCTCTTCCCCGAGCTTCTGCTGCTGCGCACGAGGCTCACGTCGCCGACTCGGGGCGGGTCGCGGCGTCCAATTTCCCTGTCCCGCGAGATCTCCCTCGTGATGCTCGTCTTCGCCTCGCGGACGATGTCCTTGGCGATGGCCCGAGGGTCCCTGTACCCTTCCAGCGCTCGATCTTTGGCGAACCTCGAATCCTCGCGATGAATGTCCCAGTCCGCCTGCTGCTGCTGCTGCTGCCTGGCGCCCCTGTCCATGGAATCCCGACCGATCTCACGGGCCTCGAAGACGCCTCCTCGGCCATCCCTCACAATTCGGTAGGATCGCGGGGAGCACGCTGGCGCCATGGCCGGACTGAGCAGCGTGATGTCGCCGGGGCCGGGCTTGAGCACCACGATGCGGCTCGGGGAATGGCAGCCCTTGCGCGAATCGTAGTTATTCGGGGACACATTGCGGCCCTCGTCGGGGACGACAGCCCACAGCGATGGCTCCTTGTCGACGATGTCGAGGCGCGACTTGTGGTGCAGCAGCCCGTCCTCCGCCTGGGGCTTGGACGCTTGCGCCGAGTGCTTGTGCCTCGACGACTCCTTGCGCTTCGAGTGCTCGGAGCTTCCCTGCTGCTGATGCTGATGCTGGTGCTGGTGGTGGCGATGGCTGCCGACGGTGTGGGAATCCGAGTAATCCTCGAGCGCGCGGATCTCTTTGGCGAAATCCTCAATGTGGTGGTGGTGATGGTGGTTGTTGTTGTGGTGGGAGGACGAGCGCTTGGAGTCGCGCGAGAGGTCGTCGAGGTGGAAGGAGCGCCGGGGCGACTCGTGCAGCAGCAATCTGCGCGACTCGCGCGAGAGCTCGTCGAGATGGAACGACTTGCGGCTGGTGGAGTCCTTGGCCGGGTCGTCGAGCAGGTAGGACTTCCTGGACTCGCGCGAGAGGTCGCCGAAGTGGAAGGACTTGCGCGATCCCTCGCGCGAGGACTCGTCGAACTCGCGAGCTCGTCGGGAGTCGCGCGAGTAGTCCTCGAGGTGGAACGAGCGCCGGCTGCTGGTGGACTCGGGCTCGGGCGGGTCCTTGTTGAAGACGGAATTCGGCTCCTGGAAGAACTTGAGGAAGAACTCGCGGTTGCTCTGCAGCAGCTCGATGGCGTCCTGGAACTCCTTGCTCTCGATCAGCTTCTCCTGCGCCGACGAGAGGCGCCGCGAATCGTCGCCCCCCGAGAGCAGCGCGATCTTGGCCTCGCACACCTTCTCGCGCAGCTGCCTGCGCCGCTCCTCGAGCTCGCGGTCGAAGGCGGCCTGCGGCGCCTCGTGCCGCTGGTTCGCCAGCTTCGCCATGAACTCCTTCTTGAACTCCTGCAGCTGCTTCTCCTGCGGGTGCGAGCGGAATGGCAGCTTGTCGAACTTCGCCTTCTCCTCCGTGATCTCCGGCTCAATTGCCTGGCTGCTCCTCGGCAGCGGGAAATCTCGAATCGTGTCTACATCTTCCAGAGGGCTCTCGGCCCGGCCACTGCTGCTCTCTCCTTTGCTCGACTGCTGCTGCTGCTGCTGCTGCTGCTGATGTTGATGGTGATGGTGGCTCGAGGTTGTCGACGACGATGAGCGCTTCTGCTGCGACCTCGAGGGCTTGGGGGGCTTGGCGGCGCTGCAGGGCTTGGCGGCCTTGTCGCCCTGCGGCAGAGTCTCTAGGCCCATGAGGCGAGCGACGACGCTGGGGGCCGAGCGGCGCTTGCGCTCATACTCGGCCTCGCTCGAGTCCTGCGCGATGAGCGTCTTGATGGGCAGCACCTCGCCTCCGCTCTTGCGCCGGCTCGACGATTCGCCCGACGACCTGCTGTGGTGGTACGAGGCCGAGAGCTCGGCCGAGCTGATGATGTGCCTCGACATGTTCGTCCTGTTCGAAATCTCGAACCCGTACTGAGAGACATGCAACCAAATCGCGGGGCGTGTGTCGGAGTCAGAATCAGAATCAATCATTATCCCTCGCACAGTTTTTCTAGCCACTGTTCTGTCAGAGACCGACTCTACGCCCGCGGTACATCTCGCCTCGCACTCCAGTGAATCAAATCTGGCGACGCTGCAGCTCTGAAGGAAGGCTAAAGGAAGGAAGGAGGGAAGGAGCGATGACACGACGACAACAACGACGCTCTGAGAGCTGGCCTCGACGCACTGACTCGACAGACTGACTTGACTGACTGCCTGGACATTGATCGAAGGGACTGAGTCCGAAGCCACTCACCGGAATTTCCTCGTGCACCACGCCTCCGCTAAATATCGGAGTCCGATTGCCAGGCGATGACTCGAGGCTATTTCTCGGGGCTTCCAGACCGGCTGCAACATTCGACATTAGACAGCACGAGCGAGCGCACAACAGCGTTAGCACCGAACACGAAGATCCCACGACCATTCATTCACTCACTCATTCATTCGCTGCAGCATTGACGGCAAGGCTCGATGAGAGGTAATGTGCAGTAGAATGGGAACGCAGTGGGAGAAGCTAATTCGACATTCTGTATGGACGTAAACGGAAGTATGGAGCACGACGTCAGTAGAAAGGCTGATTCCAGTGAAATGTCTACGAACAAGGGAGCTTACCATCGGCGAGCTCCTGGTCAGTGGGGACCTTCTTCCCAAGCAGAAGGCTGTTCCAATCGATGTCATGGATGTTCCCGGGGCGTCTAAGAATACCTGAGAAGGCCCTATTCCTGTCTAGCGAGAAGGTAGGCTCACTCAGAGCCTTCCTACTCATGAAGCCTGACTTTCTCATGGAGCCGTCGAGGGAATGCTTTCAACACGACAGATGCTTCCACGATACAAGAATGTGAGGTATCTGTCATCACAACGAGGAAAGAAGCGAAGAGTGAGTCTACCAGTCGCTAGCTGCTAGCTGCCACACCACACCACACACCTCTCTACACCAGCCATCCCGGCCCAGCTCTGCTCGGCTCGGGATCTGCAGCCACAGCTCGAGCTCTGTCAGTCCACTCCGCAAGCCCGCTTGGCGCACTTGCTACCCAGCGTCTCGTCCCAGGCGGACGAGAGCAGCAGCGAGTCCGCGAGGACAAATTCGGAATTCTCCCCACGTTCCAGACGAGCCGAACTGTGACTGAAATCTTCCGGCCAGAGTAGAAGATACATGCGCCGGAAGAGAGCTGGGCGCCCGTGGATACCACACGGAGCCATCGTTCCAGACTGCGGATCGAGCCTCGACGACACTCATGAAAATCTAACGCATCGGGCAGAAGACGTCGGAATGATGCTGATGATGATGATGGTGGTGGTGATGGTAGTAATGATGGGCTGCAGAATAAATGGGCGGTGGGAGGGCTTCGCAGTGGGTGCGGGACGGATGATCGATCGGTGTCGGTCTCTTCCTCGGAGCTATGCAATGCGGCGGGTGTATGCAGTGCAATGCAATGCGAAGCGAGGCGATGCAATGCAATGCAATGCAGACGAGGTCAAGGGCGGGCGAGCCTGGAAGACTTACTGCCTGCAGTAAGAGGTTGCCGAGTACCGGGGGCTGGGGGGGCGGAGGTGCCTCAATTGTATACGGCTTCATTCCGAATCGATCGAAAGTCGGTGTCAATGCATGGTCAATGGAGGGTGAGCACATCGAAGCTGCTGGAAATTCGTCTCGCGCCGAGCGAATGCATTATTTCAAGCGAAAGATAATTGACAGAAAGAGAACACGAAAGCAGCTGCTGACAGAAAGTGGGGGAGGAGGAGGAATCGAGATGGCAGATGAAGGAATACCTCACATCAAACGATGCGACAACACGCCTCCGCATTGCCTCATATTCGTGCTCGAACCACTTGTTGCACTCCCGCCGCAAGACCATGAGATGTGGCACCTGATTCTGGCTCGAGAGCGAACCGCTGCGGCTGCTGAGCCGTGCTAGAGTGGGAGACCTGTAGTCGCAGAAGTCGACAATCCACAGCCGGGCCTGCGAGCAGCGAATGTCGTGTCCGGGCCAGGCGCGAGCGAAATCATCACCAGCCGCAGCCGCAGCAGCTCCTCCACAAGCAGCAGCAGCAGCAGCACCATCGCACCAGCTCGACGACTCTGGCGCCGGTTATCTCTCCGTCCTCGGAGCTCTCAAGCGGCGAGTATTATAGAACATCCTGCGAGATGGTGGGGGCGTGCACGGTCCGATGCACGATGCGGGTGCGCGAGCGAGGCGTAGTCGCCACCATTTGGCTCGAGGATCAAGCTCCCCGGCGCCTCAGACCACGCTCGCAAAAACCGACTCGCACGATACGTGGCATGCACAATGCCAGAGGATGAGGCGAAGCTATGCACAGAGCGTGGGCCAAGACGGGGGACAAGGCTGTCGGCTCTGCGCTCGGCCTGGGCTACTGTTTCCGAATAAGATGGGTCTTAACACCTCCAGAGCGTTATACGACCTCTCCCCTCTCCCCTCGCGTTGCCACTACTACTCCAACAGTGCATCAGCAGCAGCAGCAGCTACTAGCAACTGCGAGAAACCCAACAGCAGCATTCACGACGACGAGGCTCAGCTCAGCTCAGCTCCTCTTCTCTCCCTCTCTCCCTCTCTCTGCGGCTCTCGGCCTGCTTTCTTCAGCTGCTTTGTCCCTCCCTGCTCGTCGCTCTCTCCCGGCGTCCTTCCTCCTCTCCTCTCTTTTCATTTTCCCGTCGCAGCTCTTCCCTTTCCTCTCCTCGCGCTACGGTGTGGGGGCGGATGAAAGCTTGTGGGGCCAGGCCCGTCCTCTGTGCTCACACAAAGCTCTCGCTTCGAGCCGCGAAGGATATGCTGCCCACTCCCCGCTAAGCCTATAAGAAAAAGAGTCCCCGCTCGAGCTGCTGCTTATCTCGGGACCACCACCACCTCCTCCTCCTCTCCCTCTCCCTCTTTCTTTACCTCTCCCCTTCACTTTTCCCCTCCCCCTTCCCTTCCCTTCCCTTCCCCAACACTTTACTCTGTCTACCTCTCTCTCTATATCTCTTAGCTCACTATTTTTTCGCCCTGGATTATCTACTTCTGTCTCTCGCGAGCGAGCTCTGCACGCTTGCGCACACTCCGGGCCTGTCACCTGATCTCTTCCCCTCCCCTGGATCCTGAGTCGGCCTCTCTCCACAACCCCACGCCACTGCTCTCGTCTCTCCTCGTCTCGTCTCAAGTCCAGTCCACTTCACCTCACTTCAGGCCGCCTCTCTTTACCGTCCACAGTCCGAATACCTGCACAGTGCTCGCTCGCCTCACTGCTGCGGCTGCTGCTGCTGCCCCATCCCTTCTCTTGCGCTTGTGCAGGAGGTGGAGGTCATGAACTGCCGTCCTGCAGCTGCAGCTGCTGCTGCTGCTGGCTGGAGCGAGCGCATCATACGGACATGGATACCTGAACTATGGCTTTCACATCAGTGAGCGAATCTACGGACTCCTTGCTTGCCTCGTCTCGCAGTCGCCCCGTCCGTCCCCACTCGCCTGCTGACTGCGACCCCCCTTCTGCCCGTTCGTACCCCACCCCCACATCCATCGTTCTCCGGTGCCGCTGGTGCTTGTGGCCTGTGTTCCAGATTCCGTCCTGAATTAATGTCCACTTCGTAACAGCGGTGCTCGTGCGATCACATCCCCTCCTCCTCCTCCTCCGTTGGGCGAAATAGCCATATGGACGTCCATACGAAGGGCCTCGAGGACGACGGAAATATTTGTTTAACTTACTCCATCGAGATGAACAGTCTGCGCATGGATCACAAAATCACGTGTTTCGGTCTTTCGAAATCATCTTCAATGGGGCAGACATGGGCATGAATTTCCAGCAGCCCTCTCGCACATTGTACCTTCTGCGATGCGATGCTCGCCCAACACGAATGACCCACTTGTCTAGCCAAATGTATTATATGGGCGATATGTTGGGAAATGGTTCCAAAAACACCCTTTTGGCAGTTGCCGTCCTCACTCCTCGTCTTCCACTTCGTGGACGTCTTGGAAGTCTTTTGGCGCTAGGCCATGAGAGGGCAGCGAGTTCATGGGATGTGATGGGATGTGGGGACTGTGGAGCTACGTGGTCTATTTTATGGTTAATTCAGTTATGACTCCTCGCATGACGGGGAGGGGAGGGGAGGGGAGCGAGCTGAAGCGCGCAAAGGGTAGCAAGGAATGGTTCAACAAGTCGCTTCGAGAAATGGAAGCGGGGGCCAAAAGTGCTTGAAGGAGAAAATTTTCCTGGGAAGAAGAATGGCGGTCGTTCTCGTCAGTTAACTGCGAAAGAAAGAAGAACGAGAAAGTTGCCTGGAGTAGTGTGCCACTGATTGTTCCCGAATAAGCTCGGGGATACTCTATAATAATATGGAAGGACAAGAATTCCGAGTCAGAAACCCTGCGTCCAGTGACGGTGAAACCCTGCGTCCAGTGCCACCCCCTGCCCTTGCCTGTCCAAAATGGTCGAAATGAGTTCAAATGATTTTGCAGACTCATCTCAACTGCTTCGGGCGAAGGTACCATGGAAGGCAGCGCCGCTAGAGTTTCGCCCAAGTTTGTTCCGGTCAGAAGGCAGAGGGTGAATTTGCACTTTTATTCGGTACAGGGACAGGTTTGATGCAGCTGCGGGAAAGGATTCGCGACGTTTTCTATGCATTTATGCAAAAAAGAATTGGGCAGTTGTGCATAAACAAGACTTGAATACCACCCGGTCTTAACTCCCGCACATGACAGCTCCATGGAAGATTGTGCCCCCCAGTTATCCCCAAGATTTCCATCTGTACTCAGGCCTTTCAAAACTTGAACTCTCGCTGCCGGGGTTTAAAAGGGCCTTCCCATTCAAACTCGCAACAGTTGTATCTGAACCGAGTCTGTTCGTTTGTTGACAATGTCAAATTTGTACTCATCGCTGCACAACGCAGTACCATGGGTCCCTGTGCCTCTAATTCTCCGTTTGTATGAGAGATAGACCTGACCGACCACGTCCGGCCACACATGGTCGGTCGGTCGGTCGGTCAGGCCAGTAAATCCGATGAGAGAGAGAGAGAGATGCATCCGGATAATCACCTGATCGAGGATGGTTAATGGTCCCGGATAGCTTGCTTGTGGACGTGTCCGAGCTGAGATCTGCTCGAAATCATCCTTCAATTATCACTGATCGTATCATATGCTTCACATGAGGAGCTCATAGAAGGTTGTGCCCACTAAGCTCGGCTTCCACATAATGGAAGCCGAGAGAATCGCTGGGTGGACTCGCTCGAACTCTTCTCTCGTCATCCACCACATCGAGATCTCATATCATCCTTCACTCGAGAGGATCTCGAACAGCTACCTGCATTTTTTTTAAGAGCACAATATCACACCACACTGTACGTGAGAGTTTGATAGTGATTTTGAAGATTATAATATTGGACGGAGCTCAAAGTTCTAGATTCACCGCATGTTCTTTCCTAGTGGAAGTCGACGCACGAAAGTGACATGCCCCGATTCTTTCGCTGACTTCCGAGGGACATTCGGATGCCCAAGTGGAAGTTTAGACTCCCCAAATGGATTAATGTCTTGAGAATTATTCTCACCCTTGTAACACGAACACCCTCCAGCTCTCACGAGAAAAGCCCCACAGCACATTTTGGCGCCTTCCATTTCCTCATCTACAGTGGAGCGAAATACAAATAATTGTTCGACATGAATAGCAGCTCCTCGTCAAGGACGGTAAGAATTGAAGGCAACCGAATGATTGTTTGCAAAAGTAGGTCCTCACCCATGCATCAAATAGTCTTGCCTTTTGTTGTTGGGGTGCAGAGTACAGACCTAGAGTTTACTCTTGACCAACCCTGATTCAAACCCCTCATTGACCGGGCCCTGGCTTCATTGCATGATCGACGTGCTAGATGCGAATTTGCCTCTATCCCCTCCCTTCGCCATTAATCCCTCGCTTCTCTCTTTAATCCACTTACGCTAGATCCGACTAAATGCACTGCTCCAGAGTCCTCACTTCAACGGGCAATGTCACAGTTCTCCCCCTCCTCTCTCCCTCTCTCTCTCTACCCTCTCTCTCTCTCTCTCTCTGTGCACATACAAGAGCTGGTTAGTTGAGCTTGGTCTCCAGCTTTTTGACGATACGACCTGCAGAAACATGAGACCAATCGTACATACATCAGTAAATGCATTGACCCCAGCATAATCACAGTAGGTCTAATCAAAGCCCAAAGTTCAAATTCACCAGTTAGTCAATTTGTGCTACTGTATACGAATGTGGCCGATACACTTTCGGTTATGTTGTACGTACCCTGGAAGTTGATCATACAGATACATGCAAGTTGATGCAACGGATGCCCAGAGATGCACAGAGATGCACAGGGAGGGGGAGGCAGCAGAGGGTTCGTTTGTGTGCGCTTAGTTAGCATCTAATGGGCTCCTCCTCCTCTCCTGTACGTGATTAGCAATGATTACTTACCACTTAACCGAAGCCCTTTCCAGGGTAAGGGTCCTGGAGTCTTTTAACATATACGAGTGAAGGCTGTGGGGTTAGAGGGGCCAGACGCTGACGTGGGCAGGTGGGGAATTTTGGCTGTTGATTACCAGGTGTTCGGGAAAGAGTCCAGATAAGCATGTGCAAAGGGTTGGAATCACATAATGGGAGAGCGAAGAGAAAGATCGTGGAAAGGAGTGATTAAAAAAAATGCCGAAACGCCAAACCTCTCGCCACCAATTAATGGGCACATTTAATCAGGAAATGTGACTCGTCATCAACTATAAATCGCAAATCATTAGCGAATGATTACATCATAGATTTTGGTAAATAATCATCGCGCGAGAACACGTTCACGCTGTGATCGCCATCGTAGAGGCTCAAATGCGTTAGCAAAGCTCTTTGCGTCTCGTCGCTTCGGCGACAGGTTTGTCCTCACTTAGTAACGGATGATTGGCGCAGCTCGTCAGATCGTGGCCTCTCCGAGCCCCTTCTCGCACATTCCATGATTCGGCCTCCGACGACATGCGCATCGTGTACCCTGTGAATCCTTCGCCATGAACTTCGACGGCCCAACAAGTCGAAGGGTGGCCACTGGCTGCGAGCCCCTCAAATCTTCGCCTCATGCGGTCCGAGGCTGCTGCTCGTCACGCTTTGGTCCCAGCCCCAACTCGGGCTTCGACACGGGAGTCTCGACAATCGATGAATGGTTCTTCTGATCCCTTCGAAACAGAAACAATGACCCAGGATCGTACCCAGAAGATTGGGGGATCTTGTGTCACTGTGTGTTTGACGTTTTCCGAAGATGGATATGGCAGGGCTCGGTTTCTCGGCACGGAAGTGTGACATAAGCAGGCGTAGAATTTAATGGGAGCTCAGCTAAAAGCCGTGAGCGAGGGGCGAGATCTTCTTCTAGGCGTTGGAAACTTGTTAGGAGATCGTCGGATGAGAATGGAGGGGGGGGGGGGGGGGTGGGGTTCGGTCCATTTGTGCGAGGGTACGAGCCATGCGGCTGAGGAATCTGCTCCTGCCTCGCACAACAGTCTGGACTCTGAGGATTAAAGTCCAGAGAGAAAACGACAATCGTCGATGGCTAAGTGCTTGGACTTTTGGAAGGCAAGTAGAGCTTTAAAGTTCCTAAATTCTTGTGTAAGGTTGACCCTTGTCTTCTTGGAGCCGAAATTCTCCTACGCCTGCGTCGTCTGGCCATTCCCCATAGGGCCGTTCAACGACATTCACATCCGAGGTCGATCACGAGTCATTATCATCATGCAGTTACACAATTTGCTCTCCCGACGAGTTGTTGCTATTCCCATGAAGATTCATCAGAACATCCTTGACCTACTTTTCATGGGAAGCTCATCCGAGATCAGCCGAGCATTTACACCTCTTCCATTTCCATAACGGCTGCCGGTCTCGCTGCTCACTTATCCACCACAATCCCACCCCCAAATAAATCACCTCCTTACGATGCGTGCTTGAGCTCCATCAGATACTCCCTCTTTCCAGTTAAGACATCCGTTATACCCAACTTCCAGCTTTTGCCCCATACTGGTTGGTGCACTCGCTTGCCTTCCTGCACGGGGTCTCTTCACTTCCATCGAAGCCTTCCTTCTTCGCCTCCTGATTCTCCTCGTCCCCCAAAGATTCCATGGCCTGCAGTTGCCGGCTTCTTCCCATGAAAAGTAGGTCAAGGATGTCTTGTGTCTGTCCCGACGAATCCTCACACAAATAGCAATTCTCCTGCTCGGATTCCTCATCTCTTCCAGCTGCTCAACAGCCTGCTTTAATTTAGATCCCTTCTTAGCTTCCGTGCCAGTGGATGAGTCTCTCGCCCAAAGTTCACTCCGAGTCACGACCGGAAGAATCCGAAGGACACTTCGTACTAAACTTGGTGCATGACTTCCGGCCTCCATGGAGCTTGATCCTGCCTCCTCATGAAAAAAAGTCATATGCTAAAGAAGTGATCACTCTTACTAACCCCCGACTTGATGCCTCCCTGATATCCCCTCGCAAGTGACGTCGTCGCTCCGAATTTCCAGTTTAGATGCTTTCCCTAAGCATGACTTCGCAGCCAGTTGATCCGTTTACATGGACTTCTACTATGCCCAATCAAACGCTTGGAGGGTCATACTTACAACTTCACACTAATTCAGGTTTAGGGGCCTAAGTGGATAGATGCCTCGGTTAGTCAGTTAGTCGGTTAGTCGGTAACTCGACACGATCGATCAGTTCACACACAGCACCCAAAAGCATGGCGAACTCGAGTACATTCAAGAAGGTCATGATTACACCACACTTGATAGTGAGCTAGCGATCTACGCTCCACTCCAAAATGGGAGGCCTATCTCACAGAGGTGGTGGTCTACAAGCACTCAGCACTCGATTCTCGAAGCCTCCCGATACAAAGACTTATGGCTCTTGCTAGAAACTTAGATGTTGTAGAACTCAGACGCCTCCTCAATGGAGCAGTCTTTTTGAATGACCGAGTCACTAGATTCCCAGCGTCACGCCATGTTAAACGTGTTTCAGGCTAATAAAACAAATGCGAGGACCTTGTAAACCACAGAGTGATAAGCCGTAGAACTACGTTCCAAAACGAAGGTCTGGATGGAGCTGGATCGTTGAACTACACTCCAAACCGCCAACTCTCATCTGTCTGCTGCTGTGTATATTAGCGTTGGCGAAATATCGAGCTGCCGGTGGTGGTTCGGTCGCAAACGAACTCGCTGCTACGCATCTGCGTAGATTTTACACGTGTTCGCCTCGTTTGGCCATGAGGAAAGGGAAAAGAGGGAGGGAGGGAGGGATGCTGAAATCGAGCTTCAGGTGTAAACCGAGATGAAAAGGAAAACCACTCTAAAGCTGCCACAGCAGCTGCTGCTGCTGATGATGATGTGAGAGAGAGCTTTTTCAGTGCTATATACGCAAATAAAAAAAGGCGTGTCTCAAAAGAAGGCCCCGATCAAACAAACTGTAAAGACAAACTTGAATCTAACTTTAGCTATAAATTTTGAATCATTTAATGTTCCATGGGTCCTCTCGCTCTTTCTTACATCTGCGTGCGAGGGCGGGGCGTCAAGGCCCCACCTCCGGCGATCCGGAACGAAGATATCGGAAGACTAACGGAAAGGGGCGCCCGGCCTAATTGGGCCCTCAGCTAGCAGACCAGAAGCATCGGCTCGCCGTTCCCCAGCCCCAGGCGCTAGCGCTAGCGCGACTCCTTTCGGCAGAGGCCTCGAGGAGAAACCATCCACGACAGACGACAGACGACGGACGTACCTGCACAGCTGGAGCGCACTGGGGAGCTCAGTTACCCCCAGGGGGGCCTGCTTTCCACCCACGGGTGGCCAGTTTCGACCAAATAAAGAATGTCGTTGTGCGAATGATGGAACTGCCTTCGCGCTGTTCGCGGAGGCGGTCTGTCGGATCGACCGATGGATGGCACTGGCTCGCGGACGGATGGAGTCGGCCGGTCGTAAGGGCCGCGGTGTCGTCTTCGCCTCGCCCCCCGCTGCCCCTTGGCCTCTGCCGAGGCGGACGCATTCTTGCCGGTTTATTTTCAGTCTTGTAGGTGAGGGCTGTCGAGCGGGACGAAGAAATTGCGTCAGTCGGCGAATTGTCAGTCGGTCGTTTGTTGAGCGGAGTCGTTCGCCATCACTGTCGTCATGTCAATCTCCTGCAGGTCGCCCCCTCAGGTCGTTTGTTTGTACGCTGCAGTGAACCCTTTCCTCTCGACTCCCCGTCTCCGTCTCCTTCTTTTCCACGTTCAAGTCATGCCCCACCTTATAATCCATTAAACAATTCGGGTTCCATCTCGCGGGCGATCTCCACTCGTGTATGAATTACTATATAATAAGCTCCGCGCATCATTAGAGCTTGATGTGAGTGAGATCTCTGGGCTCAAAGCTTTTCATCATTGAAAATATAATTGAATCTTTTTTCCATTCCTGGCTTACACGCTATTAATCATACAGCAATCTATCGATGCTAACTGCTTTCTTTATAAGCCTTCTTTATCGACGGATGGATATACATACCCGGGAGAGAACGAAAAAACTGAGAATATGAAGTAAAGTTTTCCACATCATGGAATAACAATGAAAACGTGGAATTAATTGTATCGTGGTTTCAGAGAATAAATTGAAGAAAAGGATATTATCATCCAACAAATCATAACATGCTCTTCTACATCATCATCCAACACTTCAACCCATGGAAAGCAAAAACTCCCCTTTAATCATGAAACCACACGTCCGAGAAGTAGATTCTAGAATAATGTATTAAAATCAAGACTGGTGATGTTTAGAACGCGCACTGGGAAAAGCGACTCGCCGAATGAAGCTAGCCTAATTCCTCCAATAACCAAGTGTGAAGGTATTGGAAAGATTCAGTTGGAAAACAGCTCAAAGATTATTGTACATACAAATATCTACCAAGAGATTGTAATATATAACGCATAAACCTGCAAAACAAGTTTGCAACTTCTTTGATTGCACGGGACGTTAAACTCCTATCTTGTTCACAATTTTTGACAACACCTATTATTGAGTATCGATAAGACGTGGAGCGTGGCCAAGTGATAAGGCTGCAGGTTTTGGAATAAAACGAAATCAGTGCGGAAGAGTTGGCTCACTTTTGCGGTACTTTTCACAGCACGGCAATTTCCGATCGACTAATGAAATTAGATATATACATATATCAAGATTCATGTGAGATGTATATTTTTAGAGTTGAAAGTTACAAGGATGATTGCAATGTGGTTAGAAACTACATGTAGCGGTCAATGCTCTCGTTACGGCGGGGATAGAGAGGGCCTGAAAACGAACGTCGAGCAAGTTTCAGGAGAGCCACTTCCGCTTGTGGCACACAAAGATGGACATTGGACAAGTCCTCGACCGGGAATCTTTGTTGGGCTGTCCAAGCACGAGCATTGCAAAGTGCAAAGATGAATGGTGGCCAACCAAATCTTTTACTTCTTGCTCTTCTTTGACTGGCCAAAGAAAACCGAAGACACGCTCAAGGAGCGCATGAAATCCGATATTGACAGCGCCTAAGATAGTAAACATTTATGGCCATCTAGGAAAAGCGATCTATCACTCACTCACTCACATCTTGATTTGCTCCTGCACATGTGTATGACGACGACGGCAGGACCGAACGAAACGAACGAAGGAAGCAAGCAAGCGAGGTCCCAAAGTCCCAAAGACAAAAGAGAAAACAAAGAAAGGAAAACACAAGACCAAGAATTTCGCATCATCATGCCCAAATAAATGCTGGCAATGTCCTCCTCGCCTCGCCTGGCTCGCCTGGCTCGCTGGTCACTTCTGGCGTGGCGGGATCGAGAAAATCCTCGTGAAAAGGGCGTCGGTCTGCGCACGAATGCTTTCGCGGCAGTGGCAGCAGCCCGCGCGATGATGTGACGATAAAGGTGACGGTTAAAAGGGCGCGCTCGCTTTTAGCGGATCCGGCGAGCGCTGGAACGAAGGAAGATGATGTCGCCGGCTCAGTCAGCAGCTCGTCATACGGAGATCCGACTGCAGGACCACGCCGCGTCATTGACTACAGTGCAGTTGGTCGCGAGGCGCGTAACCACCCGGCCCGCGCAGGCGCAAAAGCGACTGCGTCCGCTCAATTTACGGGATTTGTCGTCTGCGGGACGCAGTCCTTGCATGCACGACGACCACGACGACAACGACGACCATGGCCACCACGACGACGTAACATCAGATCCCGTTATTTACCGATCCGCCTGCGGTGACCGACCGTGCATGCGAGAACCTTGCCGTCCGACGGATTCTGTCCGTCGCACGCCTGGGCCATGTGAATGTACCGTCGTGCGTCCCTCTCTTCGCGAACAAGTGGCACCCCGGCCTGTTACCTCCTGTACTGTTACGGCCGGCCTGCCGTAACACCTTAATTGACTCGAAGAATTTGTACCGGCCGAGTAAGATTTGCGAGTACTTTTTTCTTCTTCTCTCGTCGGAGCTACACGTGTCCTGCGCTTCTTCGCCCGTAGAGATATTTACGATACACACACAGTCATTGACAATAAACAACTTCCACCCTTGCTGATTCAAATTTACTCCGAGCACGCAAGCCGTGCTCGCTGACGTGACAAACATCACCGTTGACATGGCAGTGCCAGGAGGTGTAAACCACGTGTCAGTTCGGGCCCCGATTCGCCCAGTCTTGTGCTCAGTCCTTCTGCCGTTCAGAGAACTCCCCTTAATGTTACATAGCCGGGCCGCCCCCGGAGATTATAACAATTAAAGAGCTGGCCCTGTCTGCCCAGCTTTGCCAGTACGTACGGTAACGTTCACGGAATGCACACTCTAGGGCTTCAGGTGACGCCGGAAGACAGCAGCAGCTCTCGGTCGAGGAGAGATCGAGGCTTTGGAAGGAGCTGGCGGATTCGGCTGACAGCTCGTCGAGAGGGTCGACGATCCGCGTGAGGTGGAAATCGGGGACTCGGTGATTCGAATTGGCAGCGATGTTCAAGCATCTGGCGAAGATTAGGATCGAGTTCAATCCCATGGATCCTCGAGCGGCCTCGGCGCTGGAGTTCCTGGCGCAGTGCAACTCGCGCAAGGTTCGACAGTCGAACCCTAAGTGCGACGTGATCGTCAAGCGGAGGACGGACGACTCGCCCCCGCGCGTCTTTGTGCAATTCGCCAACGGAAGGGAGGAGATGTTGGATGGCTCGAAATTACCCGCGCAGGAGATCCGCAAGGGAATTCTTGCGCAGGCCGAGATGATGGAGACGGAGCAGCTTTTCCGCGACGCTGGACTCCAATGGCCTGTGATCATTCCGAACGACGAAGTTCCTCAAGCTCCCCAAAATTGACGGTCAGTGAGTCACGCTCTTCGGCTCATGAATTCTTCCCTGCCAAGTGAAGAATGCTGGTGAGAACTGGAACTGCACGAGGATGACATGATTTTTATGTTTGGCATTCTTCGTGCAGGAATTTTTGGAACTCATTCGATCTGGCGTTTAGGAGAATCCTTGCCAGTTTTTCATTGTCGAGCTAGAAATTTTTACAGTCCAATTTCAAAACTCTCGGGGGTAATTCCTCTTCTTCATCACACGCTTACTCCTGCAGTCTGAACAATCACTTCTTGGGCTGGTGGTAAACAAGAGCAAGTGCCTGTCATTTGCACCTCCCGAGTCATGTCAGCTCCATTAGAGCATTGAGGCCTCTATTCCCTGGTATCTTGAGAGGAAACGAAATGGAATTGTTTGTCATCGAGATCACGTGGACTTCTTGAACTTTGGAATCATTCAGAGTGTCTGGATAAGGTGTAAACATTAGACCATGTAATTAGAGCCTTATTGGAACCACCTAGTCACGCATTGTAATCAGGTGCTTCATTTGCGGCTTTTTCTTGAGGATGAGGATCTATTCATCCTTATGTGTAGGATGTTCAGGTAGGCCTCTGAATTTATTATACATGAATGCAATTCGGCACAGTGGTGAGCGTGCCCTGTCCTAATCTTAAGTACGCCAGTACTTTGTAGGGATGAATGTGATTGCAATTGCCGGTCTGTTCCGGTTAGATTTGACCTGGGATGCAAACTCTCAGCTGGTTGAGATTAAAATCTTAGCTCGACATTTCGACATTTTTGCTACTTTTTCCTCTTCCGTGTATACAATGAATTTTGTGTTCATGGTAACTGCTTATTGGGCCTCTCTTCTGTCATGTTTAGCAATATGATCTGTTGTCTCGTAGTTCTACTGGTCGGTACCAGGGACACAGCTTTCTTCGGGCATCATCATGATATGACCATCTCCTAAGTCCGGAAATTGAAACGACTGGAAAGTGGAAAAGTTGATTGGGGTAATGTACTGTGGACGGACAACACATGTTCAAGCCTTTGATGATCATACTCCGTACACTTCTCACTATTAGCAAGAGTCCTCCAGTCGAATGGTTGTATTCTACTGACCTGAAGAGGTTAGAGTGGTAAGGTGTGAATTCACATCAGAAAGTTCGTCGTCACCGAAATAGTCAATGCGTGTCCTCAACCGTCCTTGGAAGATTTCTTGACATCTGATCACAAAACTTCATGATTAGGGACTAGTCACACTTGAAGCTGGTCTATATATGAAATGTCCAAAGTCCTACCGGAGAAGTTAGTGCAAATAATGTGGCCTTCCAGCCTCCGTACTTCACTGCTTTGAAGTCAGCGATGAGTTAGCGTGCTCAAGAGCAGACGAGCTCCTAGAGCTGTTTAGTTTCTCACCTTTTCCAGTAACGTCAAGCCCAAATGAAGTATTTTTCACCTCGAAATTCCAACGTTGGTAATTGCTGCTAATAGCAGTTGCACTCGCCAAACACCTCTTTCACCTCACCTCTCTCGTCGAGCAGCCAGAGCATGTGAGAAGTCTTATCAGCAACGGAAAATCCACACATGTAACGTAGGCCAGATGTATAATCATCCGATTTTGTGTCCATTCACCGTGAAGCACGTGTCGAAGATGACTTTGAGCTCCGCCGGAACTGGTGAGCAGTTAACTTCTTTTCCTGGCTATATGTGAGGGGAATTTTCTCCCAGTACTGCAACTTTCTCCGGCTTGATTTGCTTCTGACCAGCGTCGTTCAACTAAATACCCACTTGATTTTGCGTACAGGTTCGGGGAACATTTTACTGACAAAAATTCGTTTACCCCTGATAGTTGTTTGCGTCTTGAGCAAAGATGACGATTACGGATGCGTGTGTTGGACAGCAAGACTCATACATGTCTCTGGGCAGCATCCATCCTCGGCTCGATCTTATCCACCACAGCTATTTTGGCATGTCATTCAATGCTGGTCTTAAAAGCTGGTGTGGAGTGAAAGTGCACAGCCATGTGTGCTCATGCTTCCCTTTGGCAATGTCCACGACGTGACCTATGTCCTTGTCCTGTACTGAACAAAATTGCCAGTACTGTCCAGTTCCTATCTGCTGGATGCAGTCGTAGTGAATGCAGTCATATTCGGAAAGATTCCTGGATATACCACACCATAAACCTCAGCTTCTTTCCGAGTACGGCCCAGGTACCAAAAGGCCCCTCAGAGGAGCTGATGTGCACATAAGATTTACTCCCCAGTACTAAGCGAGCGTCGTGATGACGAGCTGAAGGAACGACATCAACACACGCGAAGTAGCACTCAGGTATCCATGTTTTTGGACGCAGCACGCGATTGTACAAGATAATGCATCGGTGTTTCCATCGAGCCCAGTCACCGGCTTCGTTTCAGCACTCAACGGATTCTGTCTCTCACTCTCGGATTACGCAGATTTGCAGACGGGGGTTTTCCAGAAAGTAGCTAATTCTCCGATCCTTGACGACGCACGAGCCCTGGCCATAAATACTGATGCACATCTCATGAAGTAATCTCGTGTATGCGTGCTGTGTGGAATTATAGCCGTCGCCGAGCATCGAGGTTTTGAGTAGAATCCGAAAGTCGGATTACATCTTAAGGTGTGATCACTGGGAGCAATATGATAGAACATGTCGCACAGCTCACATTGGGCTGCTTGTAGTAAAGCCACAAACTCTGGAAAGTCCGACATTCTCAGCTAATTCACGACTCCTGTTAATGGCAGAGTTGCAGAAGTGCACCTTGAGCATGAGCTTTCCAGCCTTTAATAACTCGAGTTTCATTAGGGTGGTTGCAAATGATTCGACGCTTGCTGTCGCTGCGGTGTAATCATTGGAGGTCCCTGGGAAGTGTACGCGTAAGAAGATAGTTACCGATTGCTTGGATACTGTAGCCGAGTGGGGTTCTGTAAAGCTGCGGTGTCATGATCAAAAGACGTTGGTACGTCCAGCGTCGGATCATCACTGTACTACTCCATGTCTTGGGGAACAGGTCCGTGATTATTTTCCCTTGGAGAAACTTCAGGCATTTCTTGATGGTAGCCCGACTCTGACAACTGTGAATACTGCTCTAGATCTTGGGAATGATGGCTGCCACTCACATCTGTCCCCTCGTAATTTGTGGGAAGATTGCTAAGCCATTCTGAAGTCCGGGATTTTCTTATATACTCCTCTGCCTGTCGAGATGCATGTCTCGAAATGTGGAAATTTTCGGTGGTCTGCCCTGAATCATTAGCCCTGGCGCTTGGTCGACTCTTGTGGGTCGAGTTGCCCACAAGCTGAGAACTTCCTCTCACCGTCGTAGATCCACGTGATTGCCTCCGCTTATCATGCTTTGCGCTGCGAGGCTTATCATTTGCTGTCCGGCCACCTGTTGGACCGACTCGTGACTGCCCTGCGATGCTGTTTCGCGCGTAAGCGAGTGAGCTCTGCCGACTTCTTGTCTCTAGTTCTTGTACCTCTTCGAGCATAGCGCTCACTGTCCTTGCTAGTGACCTTCTGAGATTCTGAGATTCCAGAAATCCAAGCTGCTGTAGCGTGTCATCATTTGACTCCTGCATTGGCTGAATCCATGAACGTCTGGATTCAGCACCTTGATACCATTGTGAGTTGACTCTATTCGGTTGAATGTGTGTACTCTGACGAGCCATCGGCCTCCATGTTCTCATCGTCTGGTATATCTGTAGAAAACCCACTAGACGATTTAGCTGAACGCTTGGTACAATTAACATAACAAAACATAATCACTACAGGGAGGCAAGAGGCTTATCAACAGAAAACAAGCTTGAAATCAACAGAAGAGCTTTCAGACTGCTGTGGCAAATTTGTACCTAGCTCTCGTGTTTGGAGGTTTTCACTATCATCAACAGTGCCCAAAGTTTCAAGCACCTGTGGTGAATCACCAATCTGTGCCGCGTTTTCAGATTCCCCAAATCCTTCATCCATTTCCTCCACCGTGCCTTCCTGTTGCAGCGTTTCTGTATATGGCTCTCCTTGATCAGCCATTGGAGGATTTACACACTGTCGTGCATAATGTCCAGGCTCTTCACAATTGCAACAAACTTCGATCGGGCAATCCACCGCTTCATGATTGGGATCAGCGCAGTTGTCACATTCTGTCATGGATTGAGAGATCTGTTGAAAGTTGTTTAGCTGCTGGCTGGGTACCTGCGAAGGCCTGCCGGTTGATAATTGCGATGGCCGGCTTTGAATGTCGAATTGTGATGGTCCCCTGTTCAAGGGCTGGGACAGGCGGCTCTGCATGAGTTGTGATGGTCGAACATTCATGCTATCGAACTGCTGTGCTCTGCTTTCTCGTGGAAGATTCATCGGAGTCGTTTGTGAGCCCCTCATGTTCGCATATTGAGATGGTCGAGGATTCATGCCTTCAAAGTTCTCAAAACCGCCGTCATCTTGGATACCAATCTGCGATGGCCTTGTGTTCATGAACTGAGACGGTCGAGCTTCCATAGGTTCAAACTGCTCTGCTCCATCAGGTTGTAAAGGCAGCTGCGCTGGTACTGAACCCAAAAGCTGGGATTGTCTCATCATCATCTGTGACTGCCTGCTACCTAGAAGATAAGATGGTCGAGGCTCCATAATATCATACTGCTGTGAGTCGTCATCTTGCATATCAATTTGCGATGGCCTCGGGTTCATTATCTGAGATGGTCGGGGATTCATGGGATCGAACTCTTCTGTCTCTCCATCTTGCATAGAGAATTGTGATGCCCTCTGGTTCATGAGTTCAGATTGTGGCTCGTTTGTGGGATCAAATTCCTGTGAAGGGTCACCTTGCGGATCGAATTGTGGGTCATTCATGGAATCAAACTGCTGTGAAGGGTCACCTTGCAGATCGAACTGTGATGGCCTCGAATTCACAAGCTGAGACGGTCGCATAGTATTCTGCGATGGCCTGCTGCTCGCAAGCTGAGATCGTCGGGGACCCATGGGATCAGATTGCTGTAAACCTTCATGTAGAACATCAACTTGCGATGGTCTAGTGTTCAGAAACTGAGAAGGTCGTCCGTTGATGGAATCAAACTGCTGCATTCCATCATCTTGCACAATGAATTGCGACGGCCGTGTATTAGCAAGCTGGGAAGGCCTCGCATTAATCTGTGATGGCCTGGTATCTTGAAGCTGCGATGGCCTTGCGATTTGAAGCTGAGATGGTCGCATGTTTGTCTGAAGTTGCCGGGACGGTCGGGGATTTAAGTTGTCGAATTGCTGCAAACCATCACTCAGCATCTCATTTTGCGATGGTCTGGCATTTAGAAGCTGAGATGCTCGGGAAGTCAAGGGATCAACCTGCTGTAGACCATTATCCTGGTGACTGATCTGCGAAGGCCTTGAATTCAGAAGCTGAGATGGACGGGAATTCGTAGGGTCAAATTGCTGGAAGAGGTTGTCTTGAAGAATAGTCTGCGATGCCCTCGCATTTAAAAGTTGAGATGGTCGCATATTCAAGTTATTAAATTGCTGTGATCCGTCACCCTGCATACCCATTTGCGATGGCGGGTTGTTCAGAACTTGACTTGATCGCGAATTCATGGGATCGATTTGTTGTAAATTTTGTATATCGGTCTCCTGCATATTGAGTTGCGATGTCCTGTTGCTCATGCTGCCTAAAATCCTCGAACCACCACTCATGCGCTTATCGACCTGCGATGACCCACTATTCATACCGTCAAACTGCTGAAGATTGGCATCTTGGATGCCAGACTGTGATGGCCTGGTATTCACTAACTGAGAAGGTCGACTGAGTTGCGGTAGACTGTTTCTCTGAATCTGGGAGGGCTGCCGGTTCATGCTGTCAGGATGTTGAGTTCCCGTCGCTTGGATATTTAGCTGCGAAGGTCTCATCATCAAACTGCCCATTATCCGTGACCCGATTCGTTGCATCTCCACCTGCGATAACCGGGTGTCTACAAACTGGGATGAATCATTATTCATGCTACCAGCCGCCTGCTCCATACCAGTACCTTGCAAGGCAGTCTGTGATGGCCTGCCGGGGAGCATTTGTGAAGGACGGCTATCTGGTGGAAGAATTTGTTGGAAATTGTCGCCTTGGATATTTTGCTGCTGCGATAGCCTATTTGTCATAAGCTGGGACGCTTGTCGGCTCATACTGCTAAGTTGTGCAAAGTCTTCTTCTGGAGACTTAGACGCCAGCTGGGAGGGCCTGCCGAGGAGCATTTGTGAAGGACGGCTATCTGATGGAAGAGTTTGCTGGAAACTGTCGCCTTGGATTATTTGCTGCTGCGATAGCCTATTTGTCATAAGCTGGGATGGCCTACTATTGAGGATCTGCGATGCTCTATTGTCTATGGTGGAAATGTGGCTCAGCTGCGATGGCCTGCTTGTGGGAAGGTCGAATAATTGACCATTCATTGGGTCAAACTGTTGTGACCCATCACCGGGTAACTTCATCTGCGACGGCCTCGAGTTTAAGTTGTCGAACTGCTGTGACAGCTTGTTGCTTTGTCGTTGCTGTAGTTGGGATGGCCGACTGTTCATGCTGTTGAAAAGCAGGGCATCCTTCTCTTGTGAACTAGATTGCGAAGGTCGACTCTCCAGGGGAAAAATCTGCTGGGTATTGTCACCTGGCATATGTTGCTGTGACAGTCTGCTTGTTAAGATCTGGGATTGTTGTCCCATCATGAGGTCCAACTGAGGAGACCCATCTTCCTGGACATGTAGCTGCGACGACCTGTTCATGGCGTCTACCATTTGGGAGCCGTCAATCTGCGATGCAATCTGAGATGGCCGGGTTTGAAAGAGTTGGGATTGTCGGTTGTCCAGCGCATCGAAAGACAAAAAACTGGAATCTGGCATTTGCATCTGGGACGATCTGCCGTTCATAAACTGCGAAGATCGGTTATCTGAGTTCTGAAACTGCTGAGATTGGCCACCTTGAAGCTGAGGTTGTTGGCTGTTGATTGTGTTCAGAAGCATTTGCGATGGCCTATTGTTCAGCTTCTCGTCCTGCACGTTGTCAAAGTGCAGTCACGTGACAATACTATGAAGGTTTAGCCGAAGTGTTGTGCACGCAAGTGAGTTTAGTAGATGAAATGAAACATCACAACGGAGGTCATCCCCTGATTCGCACCTGGGACGGTAGGATGTCTAACGCGCTCTGTTGAGGTGGTCCATCTTCCATGAATTGATTTGGTTGTGGGCCATCAGAAGGCGGTGCACCCTCGATCAGAAGATGAGAGGGCCGCTTATTTTCTTGATCAAACTGCCAGTTTCCATCGTTTGACATGTATTGCGGTAAATTTCGGTTCATAATGTTAGCATCTGGTATGCCTTGGGAGATTCCCTGATTCCAAGGCTCGCCTCCACCCACCTGCTGCTGAGGAATATTACTCAACAGTTGAGTTATAGAAGTCATGTTGTCCAGCAACTTTGATATGGACAACATTCTGTCATCCGATGGTCGCGGCTTGCTGTTTGGCACAGCACCCGGATCACGTGTTTGGTCGCTAGGTGGTGGTCCGAGGAATGATCCTGTATGAGATTTGGTCCGATATGTGCTACCGTACAACCGGCTGCGATCGTCGCCAGATAAGTCCGAAGATCGAAAACTCACAGAGCCGCCAGGTTCCCGCTGGGAGGCTTTATGTGTTCTGCGACGCTGATCCTTCTTGTCTTCCGATATTTGAGAATCTTGAGGAGGAGGTGGTGGTACATCATTATCGTAACTTACTTCATGATCCTCGTTTACGCCTTCGAGCAACTTTCTAGAGCTTCTTTGAGGTAAGGAACCACTGGCACGAGAATTCGAGTTCGTGAAGTAACTTCCATAGGAGCTGCCAGGAGTACCGTGACCGTCCCCACTGTGACTTCTTGATTGTCGCACTGAGCTTTGACGATCGTAGCCAGCTTCAGATTGCTCGTTGACGTCTTCGAGCACCTTCCGAGAGCTTCGTTGACTAGCTCTTCCTTCAGGCCGGAAGGAACCATCGGCACGAGAACTTGAAGTGTAGTAGCTCGTGTAAGTAGAACTGCCTGACTCCCGAGGAGTGCCATGTACGTTCCTACTCTGCCGTTTATGGAGATGATCTTCACCGTCATAATGCATGGAACGGTCCCTGCTTTGAGATCCTTCATTACTCATATCTGGTGCACGCCTGTGTGAGGATTTTCTCGGAGAGTTCCTGCCTCCCCTCTCCGAACCCTCCGAGGCAGTGACTTTTTTTGCATGGCCAGTCACCAAGGAAGACACTACTTCTTCCGGAAGAGACTGAAGAATATGAAGATTCTCAGGCTTACAAGACCCATTTCTCGAAGGCGAATCACGACCTGCGGAACTCTCGACCTCTTGGGAAGAGAATGCTTGAGTATCCCTCCTCTTTTCAGTATGCCGCCTTCCTTCCTCGCCTCTGTGGAAACTTTCAGCATACATTTCCGCTGGCTCGAGAGCAATTTCCCGAGACATGCTCCTCATGGGAGAGATCTGATACTGCGAGGCAGACTCTCTCATCACTACGGGCCTCGAATCATTCTCGCGACTTTCTGGTGTGATGTGATTGGAGCCCTCTGCCGTGTCCTGTTCTGGGTACGTATCTTCTGCCCCACTGTCCAAAAACAGGACTGTCGCCAATCCTTGAGGTTCCTTCGAAGGTGGCAACAGCTCTGGTCTGAGATCTGTCAGCGCCGCTGCCAGGCCCTGCGGCTGATCCCCGAGCATTCGAGTTTGGTATCGGTGAACGTTGAACGGCTCCTCCACCACAATGTGAGCATTCCGAGACGCATACTGCTGCTGTCTCCCCGCGCCGACGACTCTCCCGTCCTCGGAGTTCATCACTCTTCCCGGTGACCGGCCGGGACTCCGTCTGCCCGCATCGGATGTCCGGCTCCCATCAGACATTATTACGCGGATTGACCTTTGGGGGCTTCCCGGGATTCTGGGTTGTGAATCCCCATCGTCGTCATGGACGCGTATGTTGAGTGATTTTAAAGGCCCCAGCTTACCATCAGGTTTTAAGCACCCATCGACTCGAAACTCGGTGTGGAGAATGGGACGATCGTTGTCACGCATCGATATATCCTCAGATCGTCCTTGAGAACTGAGTTGGTCTGGCACCAGAGTGGCAGCAACAACGAGGGACATATTGCCCGGGTAACCACTGGCTTGCGTTGTACTAGTTGAGGCAGCAGCAGCAGCACCGCTTCCGGTGGGCCAGCTGATGTCTATGGCTTCCCCATTGCGTCCACTCGTTGAGCGGGGATTGTTACTGCTATCACCGCCTGCTCTCTCGTTTCCACTATCTTCGAAGTTCTCGCGTGTCATGTCTCTGAAGTTTTTCGCCATCTTACTGTCCTCGGATGTGCGACGCGAGCTATCCGTGTTCAGTTTGGTTCCTTCGTTCACATAGTCTCCAGGCAATTACCACTCGAGACAAGACTGCCGGAGCTCGATTGACAAGAGCGCAAGAGTTCGAAATATTTTGTCTGGCTGCTTGTCCGTCGTACATGCACTGAGGCAGGCATGCACCACCCTCGAGGCATTGGACTTGGAAAGGCCACAAATAGAAAAACAAGAGAGGCCCTCCAAATTGCACTTGTAACCTGCGGCTCTGGTACACTCTCAAGTTTTGATCTAGACGCATACATTGATCAGGTGCGACCCCAATTCTCGTCATTCTACACGCTACTGTATCTTTGGTGCCAGCAGTAAACAAGCCCTGATCATCGAGCGTACGGCGCTTGATGATTAGGACCTCAGTGTTGAGGAAATTGGTGAAACAATAGGTATGAAACAAAAGATGAACTTGAAAGTTTCAACAAAACACTCTTTCTTTCATACTGCCTGTCATCTGAACACCAGTGTCTCTTCCATTTTCATGCTCTTGAGCATGAATGCTCAGCTGCTGAGTACGCAGAGACAAAAAGATGAGAGGTTTATTGTCACCACAGCGTTCTCCAGTCGTCACTTTACAAGGAAGATTCTCTGGGCTTCAACCTGTGGATCCCCTTCAATAATTACGTCCACTGAAACTCTTGGTGTCGTAAACATGACTCCCGAAGAGAATTGCCGCTTCAAAATCGCCGCATCAAGCTCGTCGCAAAGATGTGGACATTGACATGATAGCCACAGAGTCGCCAGGAGACAAGTCCGTCCGTACTTGATAGAAAATCATGGTCAGTATATCTGGTGATTACGACCTAATTCAATTCCGGGATCAAATAGTTGAAGTCAGATGCCAAATCTTTGAAAATAAAGGGAAGCGACTCGTATTTCAGGAGGTGGTCCATACTCTGCTTTCAAGCTGCAACGCGTTTGGGAGACTGAAATGTAAAGGATTATCAGGAAACACGACGCCGTGCAGGTCAACTAATCTCCTCAAAAAGCAAGTGCGAACGCGAACAGTCCACTCTCACAACGACTAGAATTGAGCATCCACCCAAATAACCAATAGCCTCCGATTCGTAGCAGCAGCGCCCAAAGATTTCGCCTGATGCGACCCGAGAAGGCCTTGGTACATTGCGTTTCCGGAAAGTGAGAGATTAGGTCTTTCGTTGGATGAATAGACCAGCCATCAGACTCGGACACGCGCTTTGCCCGCACCGTAAGAATGTAGCGCGGTCGGATAATTCATCGGTCTAATGCCAATAACACAATCACCTCGGTCTCCTGGCAGAAACAAGAACCACCCATCTGCTAAAACCCCATGCTCCCTCGGATTGCTCTTCTCGAGGAAGAAGATCACCTGCACCCCGTTGAATCTCCTCCCAGTTGCAAAACTTGTGTAAAATCATTCCCTCAAATCGAGACATTGTCCTCCCAAAGCACCGCGACGCTCGTCAGCGCACGGCGACGAGCAGAATTTCTGCGCGCCCGCGTCGAATGCTCGAATGGCGAAGGCCAATTCCTCGCGCATCCGGAACACAGCGCCGCGCTCGTAATTCCGCGAGGAGATCGATGGTCCGATCGTCGATCGTCGATCGTCGTCGGTGCGCCTCGGTCGGCGTCACGGACTCGTAGTCCGCACGACGATCCCGCGAACGCTGGCACGAGATTTCGTGGGATCATACAAACTCGAATTCAAAATGGTCGGTCGGAGCGGCCGAGGCGCCGGGTTTCGCGACGGCAACCTTCCCGCCCTGTGCTGCCGAGTTCGGCCTCGGACGTGCATGTCTCCGTGCTCTGAACCTCGGGTACGTTCCCTCCCTCCTTCCCTTACATTGTCATAATTTTACAAACCTATTGATTTTCATAGCTTACAATTTCTTAAGATAAATATTTGCTACAAAACTATTGATAACATTGAATGTATTGTAAATAAGAAATTAGGTTAAAGAAATAAAAAAATGATGATGAGATTGATATACATGGATTTTCATATTTAATAAAAAAATATTTGAATTGTGTTATAAAATTCAAAGCAGTATAAAAAAATTTTGGTTGAATATTTTCTTTGGGAAAAATTTGAGTTTTTAATAATATATTTAAAATTTTAATTGAAATATTCATTAATTTAAAACTAATAAAAAAACTTAGATTATTAAAAAAACATCCACAGTCAAGCCGACTGATGTTTATAAAATAAAGTGATATCATATGGCCATCTTTATTTCATCACATTATTATTTTTTAATGCAAATTCAATACGATTTCTAGAAATGATACACAAATTATTATTTTTTCTTGCTTTACAGATTTTATTTTCAAATGAGATTCAAAATCAAAAAATTAAAGCAAATGCATCACAAGATGCACCTTGGAATAATCTATTTGGAAAATTTTCACGTTTAGAAAAATCCTGTAAGTTTTTGACACATGCATCACAACTTCATCGTTTGAATATATTTTAAAATTTTAAAAAAATAAAATTTTTTGTCCAAATGAATCATAATTATTCCTCTTGTATCCTATTTGTAACTTACAAAACTATGACATACACATGCGCTGAGCTTGTTATGATTTGATAGAAATGATTTAAAAACAATCTGTGAGATAAAAAAGCTTTAGATAAACTCATTAACGTGAATCAAATATTTTTTCTCTTTATTGCAACTGGTAACTCAGAAGTCAAAAGTAATAGCAAAAATAATATGTTATTAGTCATTTTTTAATCTTTTGTTGCAAAAATTTTCTCACTACGTTGTATCGATCACAATCATACAAGGTATAAAAGACTCAAAATATATATACATAAGTAATGAGCTATATAACTATGTGTTGTTTATACCTAATGTATATCTTGGAAATTCTTCATTTTTTTAAAGCAAGTGTTTACAATATTACACCAGCACTTCTCTAATCAAATTGTCGAGATTCTTCTCACTTGTATACATTGGTTAGAGGCTGACATGTTGATTTGGTTCCATGATTAGATATCAATAGTAGTTAGATATGACTTTATTCAATAAATATTTGTTTGGTTTTTTTCAGTAATTCTCACTAACATCTTATTTTTAAACAAGAAATTTTGAATTTAAATGATAAGTTGTTTGACTTTACGTTGCCGAAAAGTTAGAGTTGAGTATGGTCATCAGAGCTTTGACTAAGCCGATTGATATCTCTGAATAAGTTGTCGATACTTACCTTTGGAAATATCTTATTGCGGTGACGAAGGTAATGACTTTGATCTCCAACAATGAAGTTCAATCGCAAGATGAGAGACTTGTCGCCACCGTCGTCTCAGACAGCTAAGAAAGCGTTGGTTTGTACTTGCGTTGTGTTATTGTCCCTGAGTCTCAGCATGTTTTGTCGTTTATGTTATTTGTGGCGCAAGCCTACCTTTAAAACTCCTCACGTTACGTTTTCTGCATCTATCTCACTCAAATAAAAAAAACTTGTTGCACACAACACATCTCATTGTGATTACACCCAGTTTGCCATTTTCACTCTGTAGTTGCAAATTCTAACATGCTCACATTCCAAATTGTTGATCTATTTTAAAAAAAATGTCAACTCCCCGTCCATAATTGCAAACTCCATCACCAATTTCTTGATCTGTTACAAAAACATGTCATTTCCCAGTCCGTAATTGCAAACTCCATCACACTTTGCTACACTACGTTGTTGATTTGTAACAATGAATACACATAAAATGTATGCAAAAACAATTAAGACAAACAATTTAAATCGTTTACCTTTGTGAAGCTGTACCGTGGATATAGCTTCAAGGAACATAAATAGCAAATTGACAACATTATATTTTGTATGGCTGAGAACTTATGCCAACATTTTTATATATCGATAGCTAGCCTAGTTTGATTAACCAAAATCAAATTAACAAAAGTGGTGAGATTCAATTTTGATAAAATAATAAGAAATACATTTTGAATAAAATAAGTTTTATTTGAAACAAAATATTTTACTGATCATCGAGAACATCATGTGTTGTCCTTTCTTTAAATTTGAAGCATGTGTTTCTAAAACCATGACTAATTTGAATAGACTGCAATTTGCAAAAGTACACAACATGTAGGCAGTACTCACCACTTCAATGTAACTGAGGTATTTATTTCAAACAATAAATCCTCATCTCAATCCAGCAAAAATCTCAAAACAAAAATAAAAGGTTGAAACCGAATTTCACAAACTTTATTTGTAAAATAGACATCGAGAAGACATGATAACTTTTGATCCACCAGTGTTCTGCATCGAACTATGAAGTTTTAATTCAGAATTATAACCCGTGATTATTTCAGTTTCTTCACCACTCTTCTGCATTTTACTTCTTGACCTTGTATGTTCGAAAAAATCATGAGATCATCCAGGGTTTACAAAGAGGTTTATAACGAGTGGCACTTCTTTCATCTTTTTCTGTATTAATCATCTTTTGGTAATTTGATCATGTCAGTATTAATTGTCACCATAAACTCCGCAGTTTGAAAAAATGGAACTCAGTAACTTTTCTGTGTAGTATAATACTGCTAAACAACTAAAACATATGTGAAGAACAAAATACATAGGAAGATATATGATTATCAATTATTACCTGGCGTGGCCTTTGCCACGCATGGCCTACTGGTGTAGCCAGTCCTCTTGTAACAGGGCGTCTTCTGTTGCACCCTCTTCCAAGAGTTCCAAGAGTAGAATTAGGCTGTGCGTATCTCCGCGGAAGGATTGTACGTTGTATGTAAATTAACATTCAAAAGGAAATGACAAGACCTTACATAATAAAAAATCATGTGACAACCATAAGATATAATTGACATGAATATTTCTCAACTTGGTCTGACATTTAGACTGAACAGGCCCTGGACCCAATGCTCCAGAATGAACTCATGTATAGATATAAGCCTCCAATGTGCAAAATTCACAACAAAATATATACAGAATGGACGGCAACGATTGCCAATCTACGTTTCCCGTCCACCTCCCTAGATCTGCAAAACCCGTATTCTATGGACCACTGCCATGACATCTACAAGCTAACCTGAACTCAACCACCTGATCAAATCTCATCCATCGTCAAGCCTGTGTCCATGTGGTTGGGAGTCCCTCTAGCTTTGAGAGCAGTTGCTGGGCAGCACTTCTGTCAACTGATCTAAATTCGCCTCTGTAAGCTGTGTACTGACACCACAAGGTGTCCGCTTGACATGACCATGTCGGCAACATGGCGTTGAAGTCTGGAAAGCCAGGTATGGTAACTTGGCTGAACTCTTCCGTTATAACACCAGATAGCAGATCTGCGACCAGTATCCAAACGAAGTCTGAATTCAAGGTAGAAAGAGCTAATGCTGTTTCGGTAGCAGCCACTTTCAGAGCTTCCACTTCGCAAGCGAGCACTACCACCCATGATGCAAGTACTTCAAATGAACTTTGGAGAGCTGGAGCACTCTTTTTGTCTGATGCGATCGAAGAAATGCTTTTTAACACTGCATGTTGTACTTTCAGCATGGCTTCTGGTCCGTGCTCCTGAGAATGAGTATACTTGTGGGGTATGAGCGGATAACTCCGTCTTTTACTCGGTGTTGACATCAAGCCTTGACTCAGGTGTCCGACCAGTATAGGCATGACATCGTGCTTCAAGCGTCGTGTGAAGAACTCTCCACCACACTTGGTTGTGACCAATGACATCACATCCAGTGCACGGACAACTACCTGCAGGTGCACATAGGCAGCTTCGTCAATAATCAATCATCATTAGTCCAATCTGCCGCTGGAGGAAAGCATTTGTAATCAAGCAGACATCACAATGGTACAAATAGAGAAGATATCAAAGGATACTGTGTCAAAACTGAACGACTAAGATTACGTACAGGTGTGCGGCCTTGTCGTAAGCAGACCACCAAGTACTTCCAGATTTTATGCATGGTTGGTAGCAGCTTATTAGTTTCAGATTCATCTTTAGTAATCATGTCAACGCAGCGCATGGATGATTGGGGATCATCCATTAAATTGCACTGGTCCTTCATTGCTTGCCTGCTTGCATCATCATATCGACCGGCCTCCTCCGCATCCGAGAGGGTACTTATACCATCCTAAAGCAAAATTCCATCTCACTCCATTAATCGTTGTCATTCTAGCTCATATGGACAAATCCTGTTGAATACAACACTTTATGTACGATCATGTCTGATTCATCTGGATAAAATTTGTAACTGATGTACAAGTATGACATTCAAGTGTACATAAAGAAGTAACGTACCGCGATGACATCCAGGGTGAAGAGACAAATTTGAATGTCCTCCGATGCTAAAAGAGGTCCACAAGCAAGAACACAAGATGTGGCAACCTTAAGAATAGCATGTCTGTGGCGTACTCTATCCAAGAACTTGTCCACTTCTTCCTCCAAATCACTGTCTTGAAACTTCTTCGTAGATGTCTTGAGTAGAGACGTATCTGAGCTGGATTCTGTTGCATTTGAGAAATTACACCACTCTCTTAGTCCTCTAAAGAATAAGAATAATCCTTGAAGAAAGATAAATCACTCTACTTTTGTAAGTACGAGAGCTCATATTGCTGATAGAAGAAACTACCCATATAAAACTATCAAACTAGATGAGCCGAAGCGATGTTAATAATACAAGTCAACATGAGAAACTGTGTTTCTCGACCAAAACCTTGTGCTAAAACTGGAAGGGACTAGGGTCAATAACAGTTGTAAAAGTCCAGAATCAACGACGGACCACAAGTAAAATTAGAAATCAGTGGAAAGAGATAGATGCATCAGAATCTTCGATGCTCTTGAAGTAGAGAAGAGAGGTATGCTGTAAGTCGGTTGGACAAATATTCCAGTATGATCAATTTGATATTGTGTTTCTGTGGCAGAACAACAATCCATCGGATCACTTCCAGGATAAACAATTCATTCACTGATCTACACAGAATCAGTGGACAATATAAAAAATGTCCAGCATCTCAGCAAGCAGAAAAGCTTTTTATGCTCATGGCTAACACGAATAATGATTATTTCATCCAGCTGTAGGTTCAGTATGACAGTGATCCGTTTAGAATTTTCAATATCAGAAGACGGGTGCACATTACTACAGTTAACAACATCACAAAAAATCCTTCACAAGCGTTAACGTTTAGAAATTCATCAAAAAACTGTTGAAACTAAGGAGTAAAAGTATGGCTTCCCGTGTTATAAGGAAATAGGACTTCTACAGTTGAGATTGTCCCCAGCCACTTGCAGAGGAATTAATGAATTTGGCCAGTCAGGTATAGCAAGGAGTCTAGGAACGCCTGTGATCAAGAGCTTGGCCTCAATGCAGTAGACAGATAACGATAGAGACGAGTTAGTACTATCAGAAGAGGCATCTCAAGTTCTTACAAGACGAGAACTTCTGTTGACAGTAATGAAGGAGGTACTACGTTTACATTCCTGCTTCATCCTCATCAAATACTCCAGGTTACAAGATGTGGACATAACAAGAGAGGTCCTCTCACGTACAGAAGAAGAATAGGCTACTGATGGTTTCTAAAGGAAGAAAGAGTAAAAAATAATCTCAACATCATATCCAAGGTTTGACTCCACTGATGGGTGATCCCTCGGTTTGCGTTTGGTTGTTTGCTCATCGTTTAGAAATTTTCTATTTCATCAGTTTGATGTTGGCAATAATAACACTCCAACAGCAGAACAATGATCCCTTACTCACCATTGGCTTTCGACATTGACCTCCACATGGCTGCAGCATTAGTAGAAGTTGACAGCATAATGTCAACTTCTAAACTAGCTGCCCTGAGAATCTCTCGCATGGCCTGAATCACAAAGGAAATTTCTCAGAATGAAGAATCAGGAAATAGATCAGAGGAAGAGCCCATTTTCTTCTCTTCTTTAAATGATCCTTCAATATCTGAACTTCGATCGACATTTTTTATAACTGCTGATTTAGAAGACTGTAGTGGACATTATAAATAATCAATATACCAAAATGCATTTTCTGAAATTAACGGTCAAAAATAAATGTTCAGCAGACGATGAGCTTACTCTCAAAAGGGGAACGGTGAGCTGAGGATGACTTGTTCTTGCCATCACGTCAAGCTCCACCACGAGACATTGAAGCTGCAGGTAAAGCCAAACTTCTATTCAATATCCACTTGGAACAATCTTCTAAAAACTACTAACCTTCGAACTAAAAACCTCCGAATCAGAAAAAAGGGTCTGGAGAAACATCAGTAAATTTCAAAGCAAAAGCAGCTCTGTGACAGTTACAATTCTTACAGGTTCTCCTAAAAGAGGCAGTAGATCAGGCGCAGTATTCGTGTGACGCAAGATTGCAGCTAGCATGTTCAGGGACCGAGGGTGCATTTTCAAATGCCTGAATTGTCGACACAAAGAATCGACAACATAATCCACATTTGCCACCACCAGGTCTTTCACCTGAAGCAGAACGTGAAGATACTAGCTTCAGCGTCTGACTTACTTTAATCAAACAACGTTATGTTCGGGTTTAAGTAACAGAGGCAATGTTAGATAAAGCTATACCCGACAGTGTTCAAGCAACTCTTCCTCAATTCTCCATATTGTAATAAATGTAAAGGAAAGAGACGACGATCTCGTTGAAAACCAGTTAGCAATAAGTTCCTCTTCAGACAATGTATAAAATCGATAGAAGCGTATAATCTTTTGTTCTTACCGATCTAGCTTCGCAAGAAAAGCGAATGGCGTTGAGGGACATCGCAGCTGCTTGGCTGACATAGTAGTTGGGAGAGGCCAGTTTCTCGAGGAGGGGAAACAAAACAAGCCTCAGCAAACCGTTCTCCTCAAATGCCTTGCCAAGGGACATACCAAGCACGCCTACTCCCTCCACAAGAACCTAGAAGACGAGAAATCAACTTTGCGGTGTCAGTATATTCATCCAAAACCTTCTCCTCTCAAGTTCTGGCTCTAGTTGTAGAAATTCTAAGCATCAAGCAAAACATACAAACCATCAATATAAAGCAAAGCGCTTTAGTACAAAGTGAAACGACGACCTTCTAGTTTAGTGTACACAAAAAACTAAATTGTCACAGCAGTTCACAGGACGTCAACTTTATGATCTCTGTAAAAATTGAATTAAATTATTCAGCAAGAAAATACCACCTTCTGTAGCATAACAATGTCTTGGTCATTGTTAAATGATGATATGCCAGGTGCTGAAACTGATTTCTCGGTATAATGCGTAGGTTCATCCCAGATTTCTGTAGATAGATAATCGTGAATTATGTCACCAGCACACTCAGTTATAGCTTTCCTCACAAATTCTCCCTTCGCTCCTTGCCATTTTCCAATCTGATGAGGAAGGTGATTACTGTTTTCAGCTTCATGCTTTGCATCAGTTTCTTTCATCAAATACGGTCGCTTGGCGGGTTCTACTTCAGCACTTGAGTTGTTGCTGCTGCTCGAATCCACCTGTGATGCTGGTTTCTGAAGCGCTTTAAGAGAATCCTGCTCTTGAAACTTGGAAAATAACTTTCCATTCCATTTCCCTGAGGCTCCGTACATTATCTCATTCAGCACACATGCTGATGTTGCAGCAGCACGTAGCCTTTGACCTGTTTCGAAGTCCATTGATCTTGAATCACTATTATACATTTTCCGATTGGTGGCCGCAAGACGTATATCCACCAGAAGTAATTCTACAAGGCCAAAAAATCTTGTACCATTCCTTTGATCTGTAACGTGGGACACAATGCTCGTAAGATGAAAATACTTGACAGAGATACGGAGACACGAAATCACAATGAGCCGTAAACCGTAATCCTTAGCAATTGCATGTGATCGTCTAAAGACCTAGCTAAGCGGTGCTAATCACAAGGAGCCATAACATTGAGAAATAAATCTGAAAATGGAACAACGCATATTTCACAGACAAGTTCAAACCGTAGAACAATCTACATCTCTGGTTAATGAAAGAAAGTACCAGATATCGCGGATACCCCAGCAAGCCTTAAGACATCGGCCAAAACGGAATACAGCCTGCTCGCCGTACCTACTGGCAACCATGGCGGCATGCTTGGAATTCCCTCTAGGTAGAGTTCTTGTTGAACTCCACTGCTAGCATCACTTTCTTGTACTGATTTTTGCGAATCATTGTGCTTCCCTCTACCCGGCAAGATCTCGGATACCACAGGAGAATGTGCTGATGGGTTGGCTGCAATTTGACCCAAGGACCCCGTAAATGCTGAACTGAAGCCAAGGCACTGCGTAAAGACTTTGGTGAATCTTTGTCGGTCTATCTGTGTTAATCGATAACGTCCCATTAGACTAAAAGACGAGGTGAAAATATGAATGAGCAAGTAGAAACAGAAGATATAGTTTGAGTCTTGAGTTTTTAGTCTGTTAATCATCATAGTTACATGGAACACGTGGGAATTTTATAATATCAAATGCTCACAAGAAACAAAACTAATCTTCATCAGATTTACCAATAAGAAAGTTCAATCATCAACTATCTACAAAAAAAAGAAATGGTCAAGAAAATTTTCTTGATAGGTAAGGACACATACTGGTGTTCCCAACAGACATGACGAAACAACCAATGGCCCAGAAAAGTACATGGCTGCAGCTAAGCGTTTTCCATGCGAGACGGCCATTGCTGCGTTAGACGAAAATATCACCTTGGGCAGCTGCTCCACCAAACTATGACAATTCAAATTACAGTGTCAAAGTTGAGATAGCGTCCACCAGTTGCCTGTGTAAGCTCTAGGCACGCGGATAGTATTTCATATATGTAAATGACCCTGATCTGAGTATAGCTGAAAAGGTGAAGAAAAGCAGAATAACCAGTTTGTGACAAAAGAGTTGCGGAAGAGACTCGCAAAGTGAGCAGAACACAAAGTAATAGTAGCTACATCAAATGTATTCTTCACCTTGATAAGATGTCAGTCATGATGTTTGGCAGAGTTCTGAAGACCTTGATTGGATCTATACTTTGATCAACCCGTTCCACCTTACTGTCCCACCAAATTGATCTTTGAAAACCCAAAAGCCGACTCAAATAGAGCTGAGCTGCTGAAGCAACATGCTCAAACTCATCACATGCCAAAGCTAGAAGACATTCCTGCAAAGCCACTTGAGAACTGACGTCAATGCTATATCCTTTGACTCCTCGTTATGCCAAGATTCAGGTAGTAAGGAACCTTCATGCACACCTACAGATGATATAATATATAACGATACACTAAAATGTCAGTGGCACGATAAAATCTCACATTTTGAGGCCCACCCAAAAGTTCAACCCTTGAAGAAAAGAAATCATAAATTTCAGAGGTATTTATACTCATGTGTGAAATTATTGCAAACATAAGAATCTAAAAAAAGATCAGTTTGAAATCTGAGGCTGTCATCTGACGAAAGAAAGGCTTTCAGTTTCTACGAATCTTTGAGAAAAAAAAAGTTGCCATTATCCAACATGCACAGTATTTTCTTTAGTTTCAAAAGGAGAAGAGTTACGCCAAAATTCAATAAATCACATCAGAGACCAAAGACTACGGACGAATACACAGGGACTTGATACCGAGAAACCAAATGTAGAATAACTTCTAACCTTAAGTGAAAGATGAATGCGACAGATAAGGACATGCAGGTGACTGTATGAAGAAACGGGCGTGTAATGCAAGCATGGCTCTCATCCTGAGCCAAGATTGGGTCTTATATTTGATAATTAGTACTAATTCATTGTCATGAAGGCTGTATTGCTAACGGATGATATTGCATCAAGACAACTTTCTCAGGCTCCAAGAATGCTGTAAAAGACAAACCTTGGAGCATGGACTCCTGTGACTATTAAAAGAAACACGTGCGTCTAATTTGGCAATTATTATCATGTTTGCAGTTCTAACACTATTGGGAACATCAACATTCATCAACAAGAAAAAACGAATAGTCATACGTGACGTTTCAGCAATATGATTGCGCATTGCGCATTAGATACACAAGAATTATGCAAACTAGGAGCACCCTGGTACTACACATGTAGCTTTAGACCCACATTACTACGAAGAGACTTCTGTATAAATAAAGAACAAATTCAGGATTGAGGAGAAGGACCAATTTGTGGGAGTCTCTAGGATGTAAAATTCAGTCTATTGAAATAAACGGTTGTTTATTCACAACTATTTCATTCAGGGTCCAAAGGTTCAACATATAAAATTTTTGAAATCCAGTATGATTGGTACCAAGAAAAAACTTCTCATGTCCGGTAAAAAATCAAATGGCTATCGGGCATGTCAGCTTTTTGAGTTCATATATGAAATCTAAACAAATGATCCAATCAAGACCGAAATGATTGAGAAATAGAATTGATGGAAAAACTCTTACAAGTAGTAGAGAGCTGCAACCTATCAAAGTGCTCTCGCAATTCACGAGCAAGACCGTTGCAGCTTCAACAACCGCCAATCTCACGGAAGCAGAAGGGTGAGTGCATAACTATCACAAGAGCAACAAGAGCAAGATCTGCTCAAGTAAGAACTTAAACAAGATTGAGGGTTTTGATAAAGCATAGAAACATCCACTTGAATTCAGAATCTCGAAATTCTGTGCAACTTTTCCATCAATAGTGAGTAAAACAACGAAGACTTAAATTAAAGATTACCTATGCACACTTACCAGTGGAAGAGTTTGTGATAGAAACGTGTGAACACGAATAGCTGCTTCCTTTTGCCATTTCTCGTCTCGTTCAGTTCGAAAGGAACGCACTCCAGCACCAATTTCTGGCATCGAGCTTTCATTTTCTCCTCTGTTTTTTTTTTTCTTGTGTACAACCAGGGTTGAAACTTCCATATTGGACCGATTGATCTCATCTGTTGGTGAAACTTTTTTAAATTGTAGAGACAAATCCTGCAGATAATCTAAGGCAGAATCCAAAGTGGCTGATTCATCTGTTGTCGTGATTGAGTCAGAACTCTGCCCGTCTCTCATGACAATTGTCAAAATCTCGGCCATCCCACGCACTGCTTCTTCGACTACAGCTGGCCATCCAGCAGCCCCAGAAACATGCACTATAGGAGTTGAAAACCCAGAGTTAACTTGTGCTTTGGTGGCGCGCATAACCGTAGCAAGACCACGAACAGCTCCTGGTAGAAAGAATGCAAGTGCATCTGCACTGCCAACCTGCCTGAGAGGTAAGAAGTTATACCCATGAATGATTCGGCAAGATTGTTCATCGTAAACATTATAAAGACAATCACAGGCATTCGAACGAAATCACCTTCAAGAAGAGAAGTCGTAAAGTTGACAGTGCATCGCGTCTCAACTTGCCACTACCAACACCACCTCTACTGGCCTCTGCGTCTGCAATCTGGATGGAAAGAGACGATAATATCAGAAACTAAGGGTTTACAAGTAAACACCAGGTCCAGAAAGTTTGCCTCAGTCCCGCAATATACTACATCAGATGTAAAGAAGTATCACATTCTCGCAGTTAGGATTGTTTCAGGACAGAACCTGGAGTAGAAGAGATATCAAGTGACCAACGGCAGGGGCCATACTTTCCGTTTGCAGGAACCCCATCGGACATACATCACTTTCGTCTATAATTGAGTCGATATTTTGGATATTGGCCTTGACGAGATTCCAGATTTTCTTGTCCAAGGCCTCAAATGGAGAGACACTGACTGATTGGCACATACAAGAAGCAGTACTGCAAGGCCTGAGATTCGTCAAGAAGGATTTCAAACACTTCAAAACTCCGTGTCGAAATTCTTCTGAAGCCTCAGATGTCGACAGCATGGCACCCCCAGTGAGCTTTCGAAGCATCATAATCATCTAGCCATGTGAGACATCACATTGACAGTTGTAAGAATACAGAAAGTCCATCACATATATTATTCATTGAGCTCATTGTTTCCTTTCAAACTAAGAAAGTCGAACTATCATAATCAACAGCTCAGGCGGACAAATCACATTCAATTACATGTGCTAAGACATTCATTAGGAAAAATGAAGGTGAAACACAATCATCTAAACAACAATTTTGTTTGAGGTACCTGTTCTCTTGTCTCTACATGGCACTTATGCAGCACCGTCTCCACACACGAAAGAACACTTTCCGCAGCCCGATCCCCAACTATCATAATCTTCGCCTTGGAGGTACTCTTCTCCTTTGCAGAAGATGTCCTGCAAGCTACTGCCCCGTCCAATAGTAGTAGAAGAGGTAACAGCACATAGCTGGCAGGAAGGATATCATAGCAGCCAATATTATCAGCAACCGACCCATTTTTGTGAGAGATTTAATGCATCTATAAGCTTGAAAAACATGCTCTGCAATCTGAATCAATACAAGAGGGGCGAAAGAATGAACAAAATCAGAATAGCGGATCCTGACACTTACTCCATGCATGTCTGAAGTCCAATAGGATCAATATCTCTCAAAACCCACAGAAGCGCGTCTAAAACAGCACCCCGCTCTTCTGGAGAGTTGATAGACACCTCCAGCAGCTGTGTACAGAGTGGTCGAAGGCGCGCAAACGCCTGGTGACCTTCCTTACGTCCTCCAGTCAACGACATGATGTTCTCTTATTATCTACTCGTATGGTTCAATCATGGACCCTGAATAATATCGCTGCATTGAATTCGCTGCAGTGACTACTTGCTTGAGTAAATAATAGCCAGCTTATCCAGGTATCTGCAGAATGTGGGGAATTCCATGGAATGTGATGATACCTAACCAAGCCCTGCCTGGCATTAGACAGATGGTACTTACAGACATTGATTACCACAGAACCTTAAACCCATCGACTGCTTGAATAAATTCTGCTTCAGGTTCCTCGCATTCTAGCATAAACTTCGCTTCTGAATCCGTCAGCACCCTGCCACCAGCTCATCCTTTTGATTCCAACTCTAAATCACAAGCCAATTGGTATGAACGAGCGTGAACTGCTGCACCGCCGGCACCAACACTCCACCTCAGAACATCATTTTCAAACGCCATGCAGCGCAAAGTGCGCCACAAAGCAAAAAGTCAAATTGTGACGAGTCCACTCCGTAAGAAAATCAAAATTCAACGAATCTACAGCCACCAAATGCGAGCTTTGTCTAGAGTCATGTTCAACCAGATGCCTGCTATATTCTAAGCATACAGAAATGTCGCGGTCAAAAGTAAGAAGACTGGACTCAGAAGCAGGACCCACCGATTGGAACCTGAGTGGTCAGCATTTGGACCGTCTTCACAAAAAAGGCATCGAAGTACGTCGAAGTAGCTGCTTCATTACATACAGTATGGAAGCTCAAGGAAAGCCTTGTTCGATTGCACACAGGAATCCTATTAGAATTGGTTTCACTTCTCGTCAAAATTCACAATGTACATGAAACGTAAATTCTACCTTAATTGCGGAGAATCCATCATGACTTGCCCCGTCGACAAATTGGCGCCTATCCAACTAGATGAAGCATGTATGCGAAAAGCACCTCCTCGTGGGCCCACGAAAGAGGAATCCAGATGTACATTTCGATTGTGGAGGTTTGAGAGAGGGAAAACATCGCCCTTCGTAGTACCAGGACATGACGTTCAACACCAGAACTTTCCGCGAAATTGCTGAAATGTAGAGTGTTGGAATATATTTCATAGGTCTTCAATATCCCGAAATTTTCCACCTTCTTGTTCAGTACTTGAATTTGCAAAGATGTCTCAATCTCGAAGACTACAGTAGACATTGCACTGGTCAGAACCTCGTTCATTCCGCGGTCTCAGGATCTGGTGTTGAAGTCATGGGCCTGTATTTTTTCATATATTCTTTGGCTTGTTCAGGCCTCCATAGCTGCCAAATTCCTCCTTGTACCTTTGGTCTCCTTGTTCTTGAGTCTATCCATCTTGATGGTGTTTCCTATTGAAAAGTTGGGATATGAATTTGGCGAAAGTAAACAGTTAATGTTGCTCATACGTCAAGAGCCTATTTTTTAAAAGAAGTAAATAGCATCTATCCATGCAAAAAAATATAATAGAAAAAATTTAACTGCAGCTTCTTCTTCTTCTTCTTCTCCTCACAGATTCTACGCTCTTGCCACAGTTCTTCTTATACATGCTTCGCCAACTTTCTTATTTTCACTTTTGTAAACCGTGTATACAGAACAGAAAAAGTAACCCAAAAATTATTTCATGGAAGAAAGACATATGCAATATTCCATCTCCTAATGTACCAGGTCAGCAGTTTGCTACAATAATAGGTCCCCAAAAAAAGGATCAGCGGACGCAAACAACGATAAGCGGTGTGAGTCACGGGACAGTTTTTTCATTGGGCAGAAACTTTGGATTCTTAGAATGTGATGGATACGAATCTTTCCCTTCTCAGCGCTCTAGTATTGTTCAAGATTAGACTAGTTTTTCTACATGTAGATCCATGTTCGTTAATACTTTCGCTCTCAATTCAGAGATTCTTTTGACTTTAAGAGTTTACAGAAAACAGGAGGTAGATATCTCTAATGTGGTCATTTCTCTTCTATGTCTTCTCCAAGGAAGAATGCTGTATAGTTCTAGATGGATCTCATCCTCTTAAATAAATACATATACACATACATGGTTGTATTAGGCGACCGTATGTACGGTAGCTTAAATTACCTAAACTTGATGGTGATTATGACACTAAATTAAGGGAGTTACGATTTGGCGTATACATTTATTGGACACGTATGTAGAATTGATGGATTTTTTTAAAAAAAATTATAGATTAATGTAATTTTTTTAGAAAACAAATTTGAAAATTTTTTACTCTGAAAACTAAATTAGTAAACTAAATTAGCCTAAATTAGATTTTTAGAAATTAAATTTATCTAAATTACTTTCTTAGTGTACTAAATTAACCTAAATGAACTCTGTAAGGAGACTAAATTCGCCTAAATTAATATTTTTGAATAGACTAAAGTAAGTTTTTCGAGTAGACTAAATAATACGTATTTAGGTAATTTAGGCGAGAGACTATTATATCCATGTATATGATATACACATCGACAGAACGGCTGTGTTCAGTTTAATTTTCTGCCAAGGAGTTCTGGTTAAAATCTTCACTATGTGTGTGCATCACACCTTCCATACATTTCTTCACAATTTTGTGAAAAGCATAATAATGTTGCGGGAAACATACTCCTTCATATTCACGATGCAAATGAAGAGTAGATTATGCTCTGGAAATTTTCCAAAATATATATTATTCAAATATATTATTTATTTATAATGACTATAACGTATTAAAATATTTTTTAATCGACATAAACTGAAAATTGAAACCTTTAAATTAACTTATGATCTCAATTAATGAATTGAATATTATTTTTAAGTATATTCAATGAGCTGAGCTAATAAAAATTAGATATCTAACTTTTTCTAAGAAGAAAAATATCAATAAAAATTATTTAGATGAAATTATTATTTTTATCTCAAAAAATTCTTCTTAAATAGTTATATATCACCAGAATTATATCTTCATATATTGATGACTCGTGCTACATTATGCACCGATGAAGTGATTTAATAAATTGAAGTGTTGTTTATGTTGCAAAAACATATGCTTTTGTTTGCACGTGTTTTTGTCACGATCATCTAACTACATCAAACTATTTTTATTGAACTATTTTTACATGAAGTTTGATACTTCTATTGGGTTTTATCATCCAATATTACAGTCAAAATCAAAAAAAATATTTAATGATATAAAAATATAAATTAAAACTACAATATATTTAGTTTGATTATTATCAACATGAAAGTCTGGTCTTTGATATAGTTTTCCCCATTCATATTTCCTATTAAAATTTATTTAGATCATAACTAAGGTTATTACTTCAAAACTTTTAAATGATCTAAGATATTTATTGGGAACTTATTTTTAGAAAATATACAAAAAGTAATTTTATTTTTTTAATATACAAAAGCAGCTTTTTTATCTTTTACATAAATAAATAGATAAATGTGGATTTTTTTGAAATTATAATATGCTGTGATGTACAAAATAACATAATTGATGCAAGTCTTCCTTTCAAATTTTGATTTGTATTGACTTTTTATTTGCTAATATATTAAATGCATTTAATTTATTAGCAAAATAAGTTGCTTCAGCCATGTACAATTGTGTCGTCATCAATGTAGCATCAACTTAAGTTAAAAAAATCTATAACATTAAATGTATGTTTATAAATATAGTTTATAATTTGTGAATAAATTTGATGGAATTTGACATATCAAATTACTTTGAATGATAGTTGTGCATATACATAATCATAGGTTTGATTTGTTATGCATTAACACATTGGACAAACTTTTGCCCAATATGTTAAAACTTTGCCACAATAGATTTGGAATACATTTTTTTTTAATGAAATGATAGAAGTAAATTTTTGAAATAATTTTTTTTATCATAAATATTCATGTTAATTTTTTTGTAAATATTTATGATAACATAATATAATTTTATTGATAATTATGCTTGATATCTTAATAAAATTTAAATTTAAAAAAAAAATTGAACATACATAAAAGATCAAGGTTAAAAAAACTATCAAATATGTATATCAATGTATATAGACAATACAGCTATGAAGTTATGATTATGATTTTTGGTATCCAATTCATTTTTGAATGTAAGTTTTTTTAAATATTTTTTATAAATTTGAAAATGTTGAATAATATAATTTGAATGATTGGTATGACATGAATTGAATGTAAAGGGCAGTACCCTTTGGCGTCCCCTTTGATCAACTGCTCGCAAACATGATAGATTATTAGCTCAAGATGCCGCATTGACCTGCTGCACGTATTTCCCTATGAAGTCAGACATACGCGCAGGAATATGGGTATTATTCCTAACCGAAAACGAGCCTAATACCACAGCTTTTAGTGTTTTATAATTTACTACTAAATGATTAGGTTTTATTCTCCTTATTCGGTTAGTTTGGAAATTTTGTCTTATGTTTGATTTGAAAAAATCTAAAGAATTTTCTTGAATAGATATAAGATCACCGTTGTATACTTGAAAACCAGGAATATTGAAATTTTTATAATTGACACAAATATTTTTATATTAAATTTAGATTCTTACTTTTAGTGAATAGACGATGAGAGCTTGAATCTTTGAACCAAGATGAAGATTCATAACTATGAGCAATGTATAATGTTTGATATTCTTAAATGCATGACTGTTATATAAAAAAAGAATTCATATCTAAAGCACAATGTAAAATTATATGGAGTACTTCATAAACTAGTGTAAAATAGGTATAAAAGACAAACATGATTGGTCGTATTGGAAGTTGGTTCGAGTGACAATTCAAGTATATAGGTACAACCTTGTAATCAAATTCAAGTTTAGAAAAATAATGTTACATAGTGCAATTTTTAATGTTTGTTATAATATTGTGAGTATTGTGGTGATGAATGGGTGTTTTTGGTCTGATTGATTTGTGATAAAATATGAAACAGCAAATAAATTTCTAAATGATGGCAGGTGAGATTGTTACTTGTATAAAATTCCAAATTTTTAATTTTTAAATGAATTTTTCATGATGATTTTTGCATGGCTATTGAGATAATGTTTGTTTATTAACAGGCGATTGAAATCACGCAGAAAATATACATTCATTAGCACCTTAATAAGTTCATAATTTTTTAAAAAAATAATATCTATTTAATTTGATAATGTATTATATTTTTCTAGAAAATAGTGATAATCAATATGTTGATAAAATTCTGGCAACAAAAGACGGAGATAAGAATCATTTCCACCATTTAGGATTCAGTATTGTTAAGATTTTGCTTCAAATTAATTTTCAACAATTCCATGACGGTTTGCTAAGAAGTTTTTTACCTTCACAACAACCCGCAACAAACAACAATCCAGAAAGTCTTTAGTAAACGGAATTACAAAGTAGAGGAACAAATTGCAAAGTTTGTTTTTCATTGAAAGCTTGCTGTTGATAAGAAGTATCTGTAAACCTTCGTCAAAGGCCGAGAAATGATAATATTGACTTCATGCGTAGGTTGGATACCGCCAGAAACTAGTTAAATCTGAAGTCATGAGTATTTTATTTCGAAGGCTGGGCTTCAACTCTAGGCTGAAATGCTTCCAAAAAAGCTTGGTTATGATGTCAAACATCCTTCCAAATCTGGTTGTAAGAAAAAGATTCTCTCAATATTCGGGATTATCATGAAATTAAAAAAATATTACAAATATATAAAAAACTCACGTCAGCCGGTGGAGCTAGTCGTAGTTGTAACAAGTTGTACCGTCGCGGATCCAATCGGAGCATCCCAATTAGCAGCGGGTTGCGTTAATAATCAGAAGTGGCCAATTACAGTAACATATCATCATTGCCACTTAAAGTCACGTCTAAATTAGACGTGTTTCCGAGCGGGGCGGGTTGCCGGCCGGTCACCCATGCACTGGTGACCGGGCTCCATGATTCTTGGGATCCAGTGCTTGCTGTGCAGAAGTTCGTACCGATCGCAATCGGGGAGGGAGTCCGTTCGACGGAAAAGCAGCGCCGTTGTACTTTCCCGTTTGCGCAGCTGCGGAAAAGTGTGGAAAAGGTGACCCTTCCCAGTGCTGTTAAATATTTCTTACCTCCGGAGGGTGGAGATATTTACGAGCAATGTGAATTCCCCTGAGGTAAAGTATTTGGGTTATTTTTCGATCTCGACGGAAATGTAGATGGACTCTCGGCACCCTCCATCCATCCATCCATCTGGAGGGAGGGAGGTCCCTCCCCTCCCTTAGTCCTTTGCTCGAGCTCAGTAACGAGGGGAGGGACGTTAACTTGTCCTTCGGGTAAGGTGCAACCTGAGAGGGTAGTTGGAGTGTGATCCTCGCTTGGCAAGGACGAATATTTCTTCTCATTGAATATTAAAAATTACTCTACCTTCTATGCCGGTTCCTTATTAATTGCTGTACCGAGTGACTCTACAAAGTAGTCCCTCTTTGTTGCCTACCGTAGCAGTTTTTGTATTTAGCCATGAGAAACCCTCTTATGCCGGGGCAAAAGGTGGAAAGAACCTTTTCGCGAATAACTTTTCTGTTGCAAAAAGCACTGCCCGAATCTTCAGGAGGAGGAGGAGGAGGAGCATGAGCATGAAAAGTAAAGTAACATGAGAAAAAAATTATTTATGGGTCCAAGGTGTTACCGATGTAATCGTCATCCATTTTCTGCTCCAAATACGATAGATGATAATAGTCACCTTCTCATGAATGTGCAAATCGCTGGCTACTGTATGTATGACTTATGTTACTATAATATGCTCACGATATAATAGTTATATGATGACTTCTAAAGTGAGGTTAGGTCAAATTTACAAAACCGATCCGCTCGCACAATATAGTCACATAAATATATTTCCAAATTCTGGGTTCGAATTTCTAGATAAAGCACGCCGAAAATGATATTTGTTTGATAATTTAAGATTACAGTTAGGCCAGGTTTTATTATTTCTTTCGCCTACACTGATGATGATTTCAATAAGAAGGCCAAAAGGCAGGACAATCAGCGCTAGGTTTTTCTAAACAGTGTTTCGCCGGGCAAATGCAGAGGGAGTTGCCGTAAGGCGGCGTGAAAGGAACGTGATGGAGGAAAATACGAAGTCCGACAAGTTTAAATTAAGGCTGGGGGTTTAAAGAATTCGGGAAACGACCTCCTTCCCGTATTCGCGAAGGAAGCAGCAGCAGCCAGGGGCGATGTTGGAAAAGTCCCACGGTGGGGGAAAGCCAAGGACCGGGCTCCGGGAGCGGGTCCGCCGGCAGCAGGGAAGAGGGAAGAGGTCGCCGACGCCGGGCGCCGGAGTCGAGTACGGACGGGAGCAGGTGGTGACCGGGGGCAGCGGGTAAGCGGGGGCGCTCCGTGGGGGCGAGAAGAGCTCAGGAGGAGAGGAACGCAGTGGAATGCGCTGCCTCCTCCAGCGCGAACCCTAGACAGGAGAGGGGAGGAGCTTCGAGCGCGGAGGCGTGCAGGGGGGGAGGGAAATCTCATTTATTGATGAGATTTCTCGAGGAGAAGTGCTCAGGAATCGGATCGAGTGACAGGAGAGGGGAGAGGAGGTCGCGAGGCGTCGATCGGTGTGTTTGGTGGTGATTCTGGGAGGATGACGGGCAAGAAGCCCGCGGGGAAACCGCCAGCAGGGGTGCTGCGGAGCAACGGAGGAATGACGGGCAATGGAGGAGGGGCAGGGGCAGAAGTTGCAGCAGGAGCCACGACAGCCGGAGGCGGTGGCGCAGAGGAGTCGATCAGCGGTGAGAATGCCAACAACAACGTCGAGCAGGGCCGAGAATTGCCGCAGTTTCGCCGAGTAGGAGTTGAGAATAATCTGAGCAAAAAAGCGCAGAAGCAGTTGGCTTTGGAAAAGCGGCATATGTTCTGGGAGACGCAGCCTGTAGGACAATTCAAGGATAAGGACAGGGATCTGGCCGAGGGCGCCATCGAGCCCCCACAGGATGTGGCTGATGTGCGCGCGGAGCCTTACAATTTGCCCAGTAACTATGAATGGAGTACGTGCGATATCACTAATGATGTCACCATGAAGGAAATTTACACATTGCTGACCAACAATTATGTGGAAGATGATGACAACATGTTCCGCTTTGATTATTCCGTAGAGTTCCTTCGATGGGCTCTTATGCCCCCGGGCTATTTTCCCGACTGGCACATAGGGGTTAGAGCTAAGGGATCGAAGAAGCTCGTGGCGTTCATCACTGGCGTGCCTGCCAAGATTCGTGCCCGGGACACCGTTGTTTTGATGGCAGAGATCAATTTTCTCTGCGTGCACAAGAAGCTCAGGTCCAAGAGGCTTGCTCCGGTCCTGATCAAGGAAGTGACCAGACGAGTGCATTTGCAAAATATTTGGCAGGCGGCCTACACAGCCGGGGTTGTCCTTCCGACTCCGATTTGCACTTGCCAGTACTGGCACAGATCTCTGAATCCTAAGAAGCTCATAGATGTCGGCTTCTCCAGGCTCGCCCCTCGCATGACGATGAATAGAACCATGAAACTCTACAGGCTTCCAGAGGAGACCACCACTCAGGGTTTTCGAACGATGGAGAGACGAGACGTTCCTGCCGTCACCCGCCTGCTGCAGAATTACCTCGCGCAGTTCGTCGTGGCCCCCTGCCTGACGGAAGAAGATATTGAGTACCTGTTGTTGCCAATTGAGAACGTTGTCAACAGCTACGTTGTCGAGAATCCCTCTTCTCACGAGGTCACCGATTTTTGCAGCTTCTATACCTTGCCCTCCACTATTATTGGAAACGACAATTACCAACTGCTGAAGGCGGCTTACTCCTACTACAATGTGGCCAGATCTACTCCTCTGTCAAACCTTATGAATGACGCGCTGGTCATGGCCAAGAGGCAAGATTATGACGTGTTTAATGCCCTGGACATCATGCACAACGAACCCTTTCTGAAGGAGTTGAAATTCGGACCCGGAGATGGTCATCTGCATTACTATCTCTACAATTATCGACTCAAAGGGCAATTAGAACCGAGCGAATTGGGCCTAGTTCTACTATAGCACAAGCGTGGAAATTTAGCTCTTCAGCAATTGTACTTCCCTCTGCCCTCACGTCTCCTCTTTCCGGTTTGTGATATCCTCATTTTGAGATGCTGTCAAAACTGTACTCTGTCCGTGGGTATAGTCATGTATTGTAACAACTTAAGCGGGTTTTGACAGTCTTGTGTTGTGGGAGCTGTAGGTTTAAACCAGTAATGAGCATGATCATGGATGTTGCTTCGCGAGGTCCCAGTTAGCGCTTGCTCTGTCGCTCTTGAGATCTGCTGGATCTCTCGACTTGGGCAGTTAACCTACCGTATCTCATCTGCACAAGATAGATCACCTCTGAGATCAATGTTCATCCCATGCTTAGGTCCCATTCTTGTGGCAGAGGTACTTTCTTAGAGACACGGGTGTGAAACACACGAAAGGTTTATGATAATATCTGATCATTGTGTTTACTGGCCTGTGGAAGAGCTGTCTCTATCCAGCTAGAGTGCTGATTGGACGTGATTTGTGCTTTGATCTTGCAGAGGTTAATGAGGAAGAATGCTGGTGTTGAGAAGAGCGCTTTGGGATTCTTACGTGCTTGGTCATTTCTACTTACTAGTCGCCCATGTTATTGGGCGAAACTTCTCAATTTCTTTCTCTTTCCTCTTAACTCTCTCTTATCCCAATCAACGCACTCTCTGCTCTGGATCAGGTGATAGTCATGGAGATGTACTCTAAGCCAAATTTTCGTGCTAGAGCATGAGCTCAATTACTTGATATCATGCAGGGTAGCATTGGCTCCATTCTTTGGTAGGTAAAAAGTGTAGTGAAGTTGAGGTTGGTGTGAATTGGCGATCTACAAGCGTGTAGGGTTATGTTGTTTTGGCGTATGTTATTACGCTGCACTGACGTTTTAAGATGGAATCCATTCTTGTCAGCTCTCCTGACCAGCATAATGAAGTCGTTAGCACAGTTGTATCAATGTATTCTCTCTGAACGCTCTTGATTCTGCTTCATATCTTTACGCAATAGATGGTTGGATGGTCTGACCTTTTGAAATGAACAATGTTTTGAGAGTACTTTGTTGATCTGGCGTGTAGTGTTGAGCTAATTTGAAGGCGATGACGAAGCTTTTACTTTCACTTTCTGATTGATATCTTCGTCACCCATAGAGGTTGTGAAGTAGAGTGTGGGTTATATGAATCGGAGTGGATGGGAGAAGAAGAGAGTCCTTTTGCATTACAAGGTGGAAATATAAACGGTTATGGTTCTTGCAGCTAAGCTTGAAGGATTCCACGTCTTCAGTCTCCGCTCTCAGAAGGACAACAGGGTTTTGCGCTTATCAGTAGGAGAGGTCCGGCTGTGAGACTTGCATATTACGAAACTCCTAGCCCTGCAATCGTGGGTCTTCCTGCGTGGCTTCCAGTAGTGTGCAGTCTTGAAGGAGTGCAGTTCGAAGAGTGGAAGTAAAGTGTCTTTCAGAATTGACTTTGATGGTTCAAGATGGCTCCTGGATTTCCGAAATGGTCTGCGCTCTCAATAGTCCTTTTCACTGTGATAACAAAGTGCGGGATCATGTAATTGCTTTCCGAAGACGCAGAATTTCTCTGTGAAGCAATAATTGGGTTCTTAGCGTAAGGAGTGAATGTCCACAACATTAGTAACCTAGGCGTGTACGTAACATGACCTGTAAGAAGAATGCAGTTGACCTTGAAGTGACATCAGCTGTTTTGCCGACGTCAACGTTCTAATCGGAGGCATCGGCAAGTGCATCTACCGACCATAAATGTTCTGTCCCCTTTCGAAGTGGGTCAAAATCGTCGCCTTGGTGTGGTACTGATCCCACTACGTAAGGTGGCCTCCTCATCAATCACACGGTATCAGATCTGACCTTGAAGTTTATGCGTTCCATTATGTGCATGAGCTGTCGAATACTTTCACTCATGTATAATTCCCTGTTGTAAAGTACACAATCTGGAGTATGTCTCATAGTATTTTTTAATTTGTTCTTCCAACTATGTTTCTTTTTTTAGTAATTGTTATCCTTATAACATTTGATAGGATAATCGTGAGTGTTCTCGGTGATTGTCTGAAACTCGGAGACGAGTTTCTTGATATAGTATGCATATTATGAAGAGAAGAAACGACACATATGAATTTTTGACTCATTCAGCACTTCCAATTTTTATGACGATGCAAATGTAATCTATTCTTTTGAGTTAGTATCATAACAAAGTCTGTCTGTACAAACTCAATTGTCTGCACTAGGAGGATGTGATTTTTATGCTGCCCTTCAATTGAAATTTTCCATTTTGAGCACTTTGTCAGTTGATTATATATTTGTAAGAAGTAATCGACAATACTAGAAAATAACACCACCCCCAGACGTTTAGGTTTTCCTGGGGATCATTAAATTTATAATTCTAAATTATCATATATATCTTTAAAAATTTGAGATATGTTTATAGAATATTATTAAACCGTACATATTCAATTTTGTAATGTTTGGTCGCAATAACAATGCGTTCACTTGTATCTTGGTTCTATTACATTATGGATGATGCATGTGATTAATATAATTCAATTAATTTATAATGATATAAAGTAAGAAGATCATTATATTATTAATATTTAATATTACTTACATTTACTTAACACATTGTTTCGAAAGATGTTTACATTAATTATCTTGATTATTTGAATATATAATTATATTAATAGAGGCACATTAGATCTATATATGTGTATAATAATACTTCTTCAAATTAAGGCACTCTTATTTTATTCTATGTTTAAAGTCGATTTGTAGGATCAATTAAAATGCTATATGCATTTTAAATTTTCTTACAACTGGAGTCAAAGAAAAGACTATCAAATTATCCAATCTTCGAAATGAATATATAAAAAATATAACAAACTAGAAATTAAGCAAAATGCGCGTCGATCGCTTTCGTAACATTTTCGGGACAGCTTTTTATTCGGAAAATGGCCCTGATTGGGTTCCTACCAACCCTCTAACTATTCTTGATCGCTTTCGAGCAAGGCCCTTGTTGGGTTTTATAAGAATTGTAGTATTGTAGAAATGCATCGTATCCGTCTCAATGGATCCCTGGCGTTATGGCGTGCAATGCTTTATGTATTGGGTAGTCATAAGAAGGTAGTCGCCAACACAAATCTTCATCTCCCTGGCCGACAACGGTTCAGTCTCTGCCGCCTGCTACATGAACAAGTCTAAATCAAGTCAGTCCAGTCACCCACATCTGCATTGCAATGGACTTGGACCGATGTCCAGACGCAGACAAGCAGAAGAGAGAGTGGACTTCTATTCACTTGTAATTGAACATTTGCTCCGGTACAATTGTGGATGGTTCACTCTCGCTATATCCACGTACCTGATGATTCATAGACAACTGATTCTACGCCCATTCATACGAACACATGTACCAGTTTCATGCAACTTTTTCCTGAACACTCTTTTCGTCTCGTACGATAAGATTATGGACAAATCGTTTCTCAGGTGGGTCATACTTGGATCCACAAAGAAAATAATATAAAAGTGGGTGTCTAATATCTAAATATAAATATAAACATATACCTAATGTAAAAAGTGGGTGTACAGACAACTTTATAGGTTTCCTGTCCAAACGCATGCGCCGAAGACCTTGTCCCGGAAATGTAAGACTCAGATCCTCGTGCAACTGGTCCCCGATCTCACACAAACAGCTGTAAATGGATTGCTTGTAAGAGTTTGAGTAAATTCCAATATATTCGTCATTTGTTCTTTTTTTGACCGACATATTGGCAAACTGCATAAAACACAAGTCTTTCTTAGACACGGACCAATCGATATTGGAGTGTCTTAGCGGGTAATAAAAGACAAAGAGCGTTTGGACCATTGGCTAGACCAATAGGTGTCAAATATTAGACTGAACGTGAGCTTGTAATTGGTCAAAAGTTATTTACTAGGGAGATACTAGATATATCCATTCTCACCTGTTTCGTTAGTTAGGTATTCTAGCAATGTCATGAACCTACGATCCAATTATACCACATGTATCAAGTATAGACATGAGTCTATATATAAAATTATCTTCTCCACGAATCTTACCAATCATTGCGTTAGAGTGCGTGTTAATATCTTATAGTCCTTTACATTGGTCCAATTCGCTTGTACGGGATTTACATCATAACTTAACACGTGACTTTGAAGGTAAAGGTGGTAAGCATTTACGTTTGTACAAATTCTGGTAACTTTATATTGATGATCTATGTCTTAAAAAGTAAAAAAATGTATATAAAACAAGATGCATTCAGTCTCAATATAATTTTATTTTGTTTTTAATTAAAGAGCATTCATAAACAACGGTACTGTATATTGGTTTTTGGTTTTAGTATTCAAATGGAAATAGAGAGAACTTTCTATTTCAAGTTATTTTCATATGGTAATATCCATAAAAAAGAGTGATAAGATTACACCAATTTTTATATTTCCAATAGAATCAGAATTTGTATGTGGATAATTTTTTAGCACAATCATCAAATCATATTTTTCTATCTATCCTTCATCCTGCAAGCTATCATGTTAACTTATCTGAAATCAACAACTCCAATGGTTGATGATAATGACAAAAGTGAAGGATTTTCTCTATTGCAAGGAGACTCTTCTACTCGTTTTCATAAAAATATTGACACTCAACTCAAACTAGAATAAGATGTCAGCATTTCCCTATACTCAACAAGAAATCTCCTACATGTGTCATACTAGTATACATTTTGTTCATAGCTTCGACAAAACTTTGGCCAACAATTCTTGCACTTATAGACAATCAAGTTTTGCAAATTCAAGATATGTTTTACCTATGTATATGAGTCTTGCACATTATTAAAGATCGCATCCAGCTTGTTTTGTTTGATTTTTTTACATCCAATATATATAATAGGTACAAACCCAAACACTTAACCTGTTTACACATGTTGCCATTTGATATCAATATGTCGCCGATTCCATCACTTTTCACACGTTACTGCCAACTGAAATTTCTACGTCCTGAATGTGACGTCTAACAAGATGCGAGAAAACCAACCTAACCAAATTCACTGTCATTCTTCATTGGTTGGAGGAGAATTAAATCGGTGATTTTTCTCAGCCTCATGACAAATTTAATTCTACGACCACTTCAGACATAACTTTTTTGCTGCCAGAGTGTGATTAACAGAGTATGAAATACTTTTTGCATCAATACTCATGTATTGATGCAAAAAGTGACGTCTAAAGGATGTAGATAACAAATCATCCATCTTCTCAGTAATCTTTTGATTATAAATTAAATTTTTCCTTTCTAAATATGATAATGAAATTAATTGAAAATGCTTTACAAGATTTCATAGACAATTATAAAAATGAACATTCTATGCATATACATTGGATCAAGATAATAAAAATCGTAAGTTTTTTCTTAATCTTTAAACTGACATAAATTTATCTTCTAGAATATATTCGATACAATATTATTGCATATGAAGCACAAAAATAAGTATTTATTTCAAAAATGAAGCATGTATGAAATAATTAGAATTCTCACAGAAATTTATCAATGACATCATAACATAATGCATTGTTGGTCATCATTCATCTGAATAAATTTGACTCTGTATCTAGAATTTTAATCTTTGTTTTATGATCACAAGTTTCACTAAAGTTTATTGTATTCTTCAGAATATTGTTCGAGTAGAAATTAAAATCTTATTTCATAATTTTTGCAAACAATTTTTGAACATTTTTCATTCATCATTTAAATATATATAATTCAATTTGAAACATTCAAATTATTCAAGTGTACAATATTTTGTTTTCATATAATATGAATTAACTTCATCATTGAAAAAAAATTTCAAATAAAGATTTATCTTTATTTAGACTAAAATCTTAGCAATTGAATTATGATATGATTGTTCAAATTGCATCAGAATTGAAATAT